TTGATTTGACTTCTTTTTTTCTTCCTGTTAAAATATTTATTCACATTTGCCATGATTTGGCCAATTACAGTCTTTCCCATTTTATCTCTCTCTCTCTCTCTCTCTGCACCATACAATAATAATGAATGTATTTGGATTTTAGAAGTTTACTCAAGAACACACATTTCACTGAATTTATTCATTACTCGGACACAAAATTTGTGAGTGTGTGTGTGTTCAAGTGAAACCACACCAAGTGAAAATGTTTGCTTTTGAAGGTCATAGCTACAGTAAGTATACAGTAAGTTTTGACTCGAATCGCCCGAGGCTGGAAAAAGGAACATACTACTTTTCCAAATGGCAAATATTTCAATGAATAATTTATTTCTGATAATCAACTTCGGTGTGCATGAAAAACATAAAAAATTTCATAAAGCAATTATTGCTGCGTAAGGAGTTGGTTTTTTTTTTGATCCGACATCCGATCGAATCGTCATGAAACAAAAATGAATAAGAAACTGGCTTGAAAATGGACCGTAATCTTGATGTGAATATTCACTAATAGAATAATTTGAACTACATCTAAATTGGGTGAAATGTGTTCGTATGCATAGAAACAAAGTACAAAACGATGGACCCAAAGGAATCTTTATATGGCCAAGTGCGAATTCACTTCTGTGCCGTATCGAAAGGATTGGAATGAGCGTTAGATGAAAAGTGAACAACAAAGACTGGTCGTGACCCATTCAAAATGCTTGTTGTTAAATGCAATGAGACTCTGCCAATGGAGGCAGATTAGAACGTTAAACATGATTATGTGTGACCAGCAACAGCAGTAGCATGAGTGGCATCAAACGAATGGGTGAACGAGGGAAAAGAGCGAAAGACACAGATGATGCGTATGTCCGTGTGTGTGTGTACCAGTTTTGTATCTGCCTCTTAATTGTATTGCGTATTTATTGAACTTCCTTTTATGGACGAACACCAAATCCATAACCATCTCAAACGATCTATAGCGTTTAATTCCATTTTACGATGTTTCTATTGCAAGAACGGAATATAGGAAAAAATAACAGGATTACAAATTTATATTCGAAAAAATATATAAAAAAAACACGAACGATTGCAAGAGGCGCGCACGGTTGTCGTTTTTCGGATTTACCATTTGAACCAGTGCAAATAAAACAACATTAAACTTGAACAATAAAATCTTTCTCTCTCTCAATCACTCTCCGTTCGGCTCATCTAATGACGCATACTTAATCCCTTGATATACACACACATAAACACCATCGGTGTGAGTGTCTAGTTTTCTTGATATGGTAACAAAACGGCTCGTTGATGTAATCGACTTGTTCGGTGTTATGTATTGACGGTTAAAAGCAATTGACATTCAACAAAATGCGCATTGTCATTGCCATCAATGTCTTTGTCGTTTGTCTATTGTTGGTTGGTACACAATATATTTCGCAGCAAGTTTTCTTCGTTTTTGGAAGAAAGAGAGAGAGAGAGAGAGAGAGAGAGAGAAAGATTGATGGAAAAACTTATCCATGATGAATTTCCACGTGCGCTTACATAATAACAAATAAAAAAAAGAAAGAAAAAAACATGGAATAAAAAGGATTTTGTAAGCGCACTTTACATCCCCTAGCGAACTAATTTCTGATTTAGTGTCAATAGAATAAATGAGTCCGAGCCGAATTGCCGATTTCCTTTTGATCGCACTCATTTCTTTTTCTCTCTTTCCACTTTTTTTCATCATATTTCATTATATATTCTGCAAGAGCAAAAACGACACACATAAATTCATTCCTTGTGTCTTTGAAATAGAATTTATTATGCAATAAATTTCGAGGTAGAAAAAGAATTTTTATGTTACCAACATTCTGTTCAAAAAAAAGGAGAACATAGACGACGCCAAAAGGAGAGAGAACAAATTCTGTATGTTTCTAAGCCCATAGCCCGTGTTTGTTGTTGCGCGCAATTTAGGCGCTCAATCAATATTTCATCTTTATTATTGTGTTTTAATGCGTACATTTTATGCATAACTTCATTCCTAGTTGATTTCATCAATTTTGTGAATCTTTTCTATTCTGCTAGCAATGTCGGCGCTTGGCAATAGTGGCGGCGACAAAAACACACACACACACATGCCAGCCAGCCAGACTGGGCTGGAAACCAGCTTTATACGCAGTTGGAAAATGGTTTTTTTTTTCTCGTCAAGAACGCGCTTTTATCGAATAAATTGTACACTCTGAATGAATGGCGGATGATTGACGAGTATGTTCTCTATTGTTTACGGCTGCAGAATAAACCATACATACAATTTTTTATGCGATTTTTATACATTTTTGTTTTTACTTCTTTTCATTTTTTTTCTCGAAAAGAAGGTTTGTTATCGTTTGTGATTAATTTCAATTCATAGTTGAACAATCAACAAAACGCACAACATATCCAACAAATGACAATGACAATGATGGCTGAAGAAGCACACACAAATAAAGAATCTGTATTTTAGTCGCCAGCAAGATTAATTTGTTGTCTACGTGCTCGGAAGCGAAGCCCGTTCGTTTTCATTTTTCGTTGACAATAAATTAGTTTGCTTTATTCCGATGATTTACACATCTTTTGTTGCGTTTGAATTTTATATTTACGATCAAATGAACGAATGACTCAAATGATGCGTGCAACCAGATATAGAGGAAAAATTAAATACTCAACAACAACAACAATGAACGTAAATAAAATTATTATTATTTTAATTGTCACATTTACGACACAAAGGCGCGCGCTTATTCGCAATGTAAACTGTCCTCCATTTTTTTACATTGCTCGGAATTTAAAACGAAATTCTCTCACATTGCGTTGGATTTTGTGAAAAGGAATCAAAGTACATTCATTTCGAGTGTATTGTGTACCTTGAACTTTTGCAAAGAATGTGCATATTGTTTATTTTGTTGATTTGTTCCAGCCCAGAGGATGAACTATTTTTGGTAAATTTATTGAATTAACTCGACAAACTCGTTTCCTCTGGGGCCATTCATATTAAGTGGGTCTTTTGCTTTGCCAGAAGATAAATAAATAAATTGATTATTGGTGTTGACGACATACAGCACAAATCATAAATTACGTGCAAACATGTAGATATATTCTGTAAAAACGACAAGAGAGAGCATTGTTGCACTGTAATTCAATTGTCACGGGCGTTGCATTTAATTTTTAATATTTTTTTGTTTCCAATTTTCTTCTCGTAAATGTAAATCGCAGGAAAAACGGCTTTAACAAAATAGAACGAGAAAATAATAAAAATTTGTAACAATAATTTGTTGTTGTCGTACGGTGGCCGGGGCGATGAAGAAAATTCGTTTAAAGCACTCTTCGCATCATAAATTTTGAACAGAGATGCTCATCTGACACACCGAATTTATTCGAATTGCAATGCTCACACAAAACTGTATTCACATGATAAAACAATAAACACAACGGAACGAAACGAGGGTGGGACAGAGACAACGACATAACAATTACAAGCGAACAAGACACAATTTCAAGATATACAGAACGAGATGATCAGTTGAGAGATATAACAAAGCAACGTTTAATTACTCATTCACATTTAAAATAGGAATGAAATGCGGAAAAATAATTCACATGCACCTTGGAATCTACAAAGTGAACACAAAAGTCGAAAATATATTCCTTTCAAATAAAAATAAGAGTCATTTTGTCATTCTGATGCATCAGTATAGCAATAACGATGAAAAGATAGTGCAGCAAAATTTAGAACATACATACAAAACTGGGCTCATTCACAGTTTGTCGTGATGATCACAAGCAATTGAAATTGCAAATATAAAACATGTAAATGATCTTTTGTTTTTCTCCCTCTCTCTATACGCTCGATTCATCGCGCTAATGGCGATTGCTGGTGGCTACAAATCATTTAATGTTTTGTGCATGTGATGCGCGTTGGTGCGCATTTGCAGTCAACACTCGCTATATAATTCTTGCCTCTTCTCGTTAAACTACACGATCATTTGCAATTGAAACTGAAATTGAGTCTCGTTGTTTTTTACTTTCGATTTTTATTTTCGGCGAAGAAGTGTTTTTTAAATGAAAGAATTAGCAATTTATTGCTTCTGATGAATAAATAAATGATTTTATCGCTTTGTGTTTTGGCAAAGTTTCCAATTCGTCAACCGAATAGCCTCACATTTTACTTTATACTTTTTCAATCGCACAGGATTTTGTTTACAAATTGTCACTTAAATGCGCACATCATTATCCTATTCTCTTCAGACCGGATTTTACAGACCCATTTCGATGCAAATTCATCACAATATAAGGAGCACAAAAACAAAACAAAAAACCGATCCATTCCGTCAATGCATTTTATTTTGCACATTTTCATTTGCAAATTGAATTTTTTTTTCATGTATGAGTATATATTTTAGTTGAGAGTGCGAATTATTAGCATAGGTTGTTGCCTTAGCTGCATTTTATTTGATGAATATTTAGTGCAGTATGCAGTTATCGCACGCACATTCGACGACTTTTTTTCTGGCAGAAATAAATGCAACCAACGACAAAACACACACTTACCATTTTATACGTAAAATGAAACAAATAATGAAATGTAAAATGAAAAAATAAAAATAAAAGAAAAACAGTGGGCAATATAACACAGAATTAAAAATAATTGGGGGCCAAACATAAGCCAATTACATACCGATTTGTTTGTATTTAATATGCATTTCATGCATTAAAATCGAATGAAAGTTTACCATAAGACAATGACATTTGTCGATACGTTTCTGCATTGTATGTCTTCAATACAGACTACCATATGTGTTAATTTATTTAAATATTATGCATACAACAAATGATCACTGATCAGACACGTTTTTTTTATGTTTAAATTGTTGACTGCCAATAGACATTATTATAAACACGCAAAAACAAATTTCGTACCAAATAAATGTTGAATTTGTTTCTCACGCATGGCATTTATTTTATTTCAGGCACCTGAAATGGAAGAATCACTACCGCGACCACCATGTAAAAAAGAGCCGTTGGACATTCCGTTGAAGAAGGCAAAATTATTCGAAGATAAATTCATAATGGATTATCAGTATCAAGTGCTTTTGGCTCAGTATCAACGTCAAAATTCGTATCACGGTTTTCGGCCATGGACCAGTTCGATTGGAGCGTCCACAAAACATTTACCTCATTTGCCATTCGTGTCAACTGCGTTACCGTATCTCAGCCAAGAGCCACCAATCTTACAAAATCCTGAACGTGTTGTTCGCAATTCAGAACGTGAACACTATGAACAATCCTACCAGCCAAATGTGGCGCTGGCGCCACGAAATGGTAGCAAAACCACATCATCAGTCGGCATTAAAATCGATACGGAGCATGGTGAATATGAAAATGGCGAACGAGATCGATCATTGGCAATGGATGTTAAAATTAAGGAAGAACGACCGCAAACACCATCCGATGAATCACATTCGCCCGAATCATGCATTACATCTGGAGCAACTACGGTTGGTAATATACAAAATAACATCGATTCAACACCAAATTCAGTTCCACCAGTGAGGTATGTACAAATGACAGAACAATATGCTCCAAAATGCTTTGTGAAATGTGAAATAATTGTGTTTTTCTTGCTCTTTTTTTTGTATTTTATTATATTTATAGTCCTGAAGGCCAATCAGCATCATCAAATGAAATCACATCATCGACGTCTCCAGTACCTGCTGCAGCGACAACAACATTTGATAAGCTAAACGATTCGACACATTCGCCGAAAACCGTAACACCGCCAGTCAATAATCATCATATAAATCAACTAATGAATCGATCTCACCACAAAGATATTGATAACCATCACCATCACCTCCACCTCCACAACAATCATCATAATCATCATCGAGCACAACAAAACGGCACATTCGAAAATCGACCGTATCATTATCATCCGTATAATCGTTATAAATTGAATGGTCTCAGTTCAGAATTTGATCTATCAACCGACACCGATGATGACAGTTTGGTTGGTGAAGCCGATAGCAGTAATCATCCATCGCCGCTTGATATTGCAAACGAAGCACTTAAAGACATCGATGCAAAGGATCGTGAACGGGTGTTGAACATTATAAAAATGTTGTTGCATGAAAATTTGCAATTAAGTTTGAAAAATACAAGTTTATTACGTGAATTGCAACGCAAAGACGATGAAATTGCCGATTTAATGCAAACAAATCGACATACGCACACAACCAGTAACAGCTTTTTAACCAGCAGCCGTAGCGATACATCAAGCAACAATAGTAACGATGAAAGCACAAAATATCCAAGCGAAAGTGATGAATTAAAGGTTGCCGATGAAACGATTATCAGCAAAAAGAATGACGAACGTTCCGATGACGAAAAAGACATGGATAAAACAAAAACCATTACAAAATGTAATGATAGCGTAACTATTCATGTGCTTGATTCGACCAAAGCCAAAGCCGATGAGCCATCACAGCATGAATTTAATAAGCCCGATTCAGCGCCAGCAACAATAACCGTTACAAAAACGGTCATCGAAGTTGGCACACCGAAAGTCAATGATACGGCCGATATAAAATCGGCAACCATTACAAATGGTACGACAACAACAAATACGATTTCAAGTACAAAATTCGGTTGCGCTAAAAGCGAAACCGAAGTTATCCGGATGCCATTGAAAAAGTCAGTACGACGCACACCGACCGAAGATACAACAACTGCTGCAACTGTTGTTGTTATGCAGCCGCATAAGTTGCGCGATGAAGCACGCGATAAATCATGTGATAAATTAGACAAAATATCGCGAAATTTTGAAAAGAATTTGCGCTCACTATCACCACCACCAACCGCTAATTTAGTGACTGCCAAAGCTACAGAGTAGAAAACAGATAATAAAATTTAAAAAGGGCAACAGACGAATAAAAAAACAACATAGAATACGCGGCACAACGCAATGAGAGTCTGCGAAATGATTAATTTTTAAATAAAGTAAATATATACACAGTTAGCTCTAATATAAGAAACAGAAATGAATGAGAAAAATAAAATGAGAGCACAAACGAAAGATGCATCCATCTAACATGAACAGATTGATGGAAATTCATAGAATTTTCTATTCATCGTTTTTCAACTCAAATTTTCGTTGTTGTAAAATACACAAACACAAAAAACTAGGAAATTTAAATATTTAAACGAAGAAAAAAATGAAAGTAATGGACATCCCACCAGATGAACTTATTCAATTGTTTCCGACGAAATTGCAATTTTTTTTACTTGTAAAAAAAGATATTTGAAAAGAAAATTTACACCTTGTAATGATCACTAAGTGATTTAAATTTGTTAGCCTTTATTATTATTGATAATTTTATTCTCTATATTTTTCGTTCATCATTTTTTTTCTTTATATTCTTTCTATTTTTTGTTTTTGTTTTCATTATTGATGAATTATTCACGCAAACTTTAAAAATGTCCTCCTTAATTACTTCTTGAGAACTTTTTGCGTCAATTTTTGTTTAATATCGTGCATTGTTTTTTTTTCCGCCTTTTCTTTCTCAATATAATAAGAAAATAATTTTCATCGTAGCATCTTAAGGCCCAACAAAGATTAAGTATTAAGAACTATAAGATTCAAAACTATACATACACTATGTATTATCTAATAACAATAGTAAATTCTATATATATAATACACGCATACACCTTTAGAAATTAAGCCATCAAAGAGATCATTTTGAATTCAATCTAATTGAAAGAGTAAAAAAGCATATGCGATAACGAAATACAAAAGTGGAAACACTGAAAAAAATCAGCATGCAACTGTATAATATTACTATTTAAAATATATATATATTTACTTTTACAATATTTGTTAGTGTGTGTGCATGTAAAACAACAACAAAAATAAATTAATAAACCATTTTTTCGCTCTTTTTTCGTATGTACAACAACATTATACAATAATGTTTTATTCAGTTTTTAATCAAATATTCAATCAGCAAACAGAAAGAGTAAAAAAAATCAACAATAAAAAATGAACACTGTGTATCTGAGCTGCAACATTTTCAAATAAATTGACAAATAAAAACCGTATAGCCAAATTGATTGATTGCATTTTAGGGACATGCCATCCATAAATTATCCGCATGGAAAAATCAACAAATTCATGAAAATTTGCATACATTAAGTGAAACAAACAAAGAAAAAACAATGCAAACAAGAAGCTACAATCATATCGTGGTATGCGTGTCGCCACTGAGACAGATTGAAAAAAAAAACAACAAGAAGAAGAAATTCGGTGCTTGCTCTGCTCCGTTGTGAGAAAACTGCAATAGTAATAATTTCATTCTCGAGAAATTATTATTTGGAAATATTTCTCCAAAATAAACGACTCATTTCACATTTACAAATAGCATCAAATCAACCTACAACATAAACAAACCGTATCCAATCAAAATGATGACAAAAAAATTGCAAAAGATTATTTAAGAACAACAAATGACAGAAGCACAATAAAAAAAAAAACAAAAAAACTCTATATATATTTAGCATATGAAAAAAATCTACGAATAGGTCTACGCAAAAGAATAATAATAAACAAAAATAACATAACATAAACTATAGCTATATGAACGCATTAAACGCATAAGTTTTAATTTATAATTGCATATTATATGATAGAAAACAAAACACACACACAAAACTATTAGAAATAATGGGAACATCAAACAACAACAAAACTTTGTAAAGCTAATCAATTATAAAATAAAAGAAACATCAAAATATTATTTAATCCAATGAAAAAAAAAAACAATTCATCGACAATTATTTTAATTTATTCCCTTTCCAAGATTTTTTTTTTTTCAGTTTCAGATAATGAAGTCTTTGTTTTTTTCCTTTTGGATTTTTGTTTGTTCAAATGTCTTCGAATTCATTTTTTACCAACACATTTTACTTTTGACATTTTTTTCGATGCAATTTTAAAATTTTGTTGCATTTTCAGTCAATATCATATAATACTATTTAAATGTGAAATATGTAATCAATTCATTTAATATAAAGATTGAAAACAAGTTTTTTAGACAACATATAACATAGTCCATATTCGTTCAACTTGCATTTGTATTATTCTCTTATTTGCTCGCTTTTAATTGTTCCTCGGTCTTCAATCACATATATATCTATATAAAAATATACGAATTTTACAATTTTCGTTTCGCGGTAAGGTCTTCTTTATAGCAAGCTAAATGTGTTGTTTTTTTAAAAGAGGGAGAAATTGTTACTATTTTATCGAGACTAGTCTATTGCTCAATCTTAAATTTGTAACTACAAATAAGACGCATTTTTGCGTTCACATAACTTCCTCATTTATTTGTGTGACACCATTGAAGTCTATTACGAAGAGAAACAACAAACAAAAACATCAAGCAATATGATAAAAAATCGAAACAAATGCATCTTCAATAAATAGATATATACATGTCTTTTGTGAGAATTCCAAAACTTATAAAAATGCCAGCTATTCAAAATGTGTTGTATTATTCTGGTTATAGGAACGAAGTGAAAAGAGAGCAAAGAAGCAGTTTCTTTATATGGTCATAAAATGCCAACAACAAAAAAAAGATTTAAAAAAACCACTGAGTACAACATCTTTTTTCAAAAAATATATATATAATTCACCTTTGTTAGACGAAAAACAAAAAATAAATATGTTATAATTAGTCATTGAAGTAATCAAATCGTTATTGCACATTTATGTAATATCAAGAAATTCAAAACTAGTAGTAAAAAATATATTATATTACGAACACACACACATACACCCACATAAAATCAAACAAAAAAACAAGAAAAAAATATATATTTATTATTAACTGGTAAAAAACCAAAAGTTAATCTCTGTAAATGACAAATTATTATATAAAAATAAACCACATGTAACAAAGAAAAAGGATGTTTTCATTTTATCATCATTATACGCCTGAAGTTATGCTAATAATGGTTCTCTCTTATTCTACACATATACGTATACATGTGTGGAGAGATTTGGTTGGTTTGAAAGCTTTAAATGAGCTCAAATCGGTTTATGTTTACATGGTATTATGCTCGCAGCGTAATTTAAATGGATTTTCGTTTCAGGTTAATGTTGTCAAAAGAAAATACACTGCACACCCTTCTTTTACAAAAAGATTTAAGCCTTTCAATATATATAAGAAAGTATATGGAGAAAACAAGGAAGAAATGTTTTTTTTACAGCAGATACATGGAAATCAAAAAATCACATGAGTAGGTAGTTTCAATGATTTACGAATTTTATTTAAATCCAAAGGAATCGAAATACAAATAAGGTAAATTGGCATGTTTCAAAATAAATTCTATATACTCTGTGACCCAAACTGCGATAATCTGGACGAGAAATATGTGAATTGCTTTGGTAATTGCATGAAAGAAAAAGAAAATATAAAAAAAAAAAACATTTGGCTAATTATATGTCACAAACTAATAATCTAACGAATGCGAACATTTCTCGATTGATGAGATTCGGGTTGAGTTGATATACAACTAATTTGTAGCCGGAGCCGGTTGTGGTTGATCTCGTTGTGGTAGCAATTGGAAATCAGGAATCTCTTCGTTTTCTTCCGATTCAATTTTATGAGGGCCCGGTCCGACCACTATTCAAAGCAAAAAAGAGAGAGATAAAAAAATTCTCAATGATATTGCGCCACTTGTAGTGAATTTTTAAGATGCGATTACCTTGGATTTTATTTTGTACTAATTGAAAACTGCTGCGAATGTTCTCCAATGCGTTTCCAAGGCCAGTTTTAATTTGATTGAATTCTTGTGTTACTAAAGATAGACGACCCAAGAGGTAATTGAGATTCTCATCTACTTCACTCATTCGACCAGTGATTTGAGATACCTATAATGGCAAACGATTTAGATTAATTTGCTTCTTATCGGATTTTTGCGTCCGTGTCTATTTTTGATGAAAATATTTACCTTTCCTTGCATATGATCCATTGTTTCAACGGTGCCATTGACATATGATGTGGTGAGCTCTTGTAATTTATTCAATGCATCCTTGCTCGATGAAACCTCTTGATACATAATACCAATCTGGCGCCAAACTTGGCTGATCTCCGATTCAATTTTGTCCGTTAAATTTGTAATTGCTCCATTATGATTGTTCCATATAGTTTCATTGATGGCTTCAAATTTATCACCGATTGCCGACTCTAAATTCTTTGAATTTTGTTTAATCGCTTCACCCACTTCCAACGTAATGGCGTGCACATTAAATTCGATGCCACGTTTGATTGACAGTACATTGTCACCCATTTGTGCCAGCATTTGTTCCAATTTATGGATTTCATTTTGTTTTGATTCACTTATACCGTTACCGTCACAACCTTCGCCAATATTTTTCAGCAATTCGTTGATCGATGTGTCCAGTGCGGTGGCGGTTTCTTTAAGTTTTGTCGTGGTTTTTATGAGACTTTTATCAGATGCTGTCAATACCTCGTGTCGCATATCACTGATTGCGTCAAGCGTTTGATTGTTCAATGAAATGAGGAAGTCTTTGTCAATTGCACCACTTTCAGAGTCGCTGTTACCACATGAACGGGCACCAATGTTCGATTTAATGTATTGTAAATCTTTTGAAATTGTGTCCTCCAATGAACCATCGCCCGATGACTTGACACCACCAATTTTGCCCAAATTCTCCTGAATTTTGCCAATGGCATTGGCATTTTCGTCCAATTTTTTAACCAAATTATCACCAATGCTGGACAAAGAATCATTGGAGGCTTGTGAATCATGGTCATGTTTCACACGTAGCTCATCGACTACCTTTCGTAAGTCTTTAACATTCACCGATAAATCTTCAACTTGATTGCTTAGTTCAATGAGTTTATCTGAATTGGACGATTTTGATTGTGATGCCGTCCATTTTTCAATCGATTCAATTGCTTTATTTGTTTTCGATTGTTCATTAAATTTCTCATCCAAAGTCATTAAAAGTGTTTCGATTTGACCGACACGCTCTTCAAGCCGAACATATGATCCTTGCATTGGATCGAAGATTTTTTGTCCCTTTTGTAATGCCTGCAAGCCACGTTTAATAATTTCTCCCAATGCTCGTTCTCGTTGCTCATGTCGCTCTAGTTTATTCTCGAGCTGACTGTATGAATGAACCAGCGACAGTAAACCGTCTCGTATTTGCTCATTTCTGCGGGACAAACGATAAAGAAAAATTAAAATGTGCGGGAGAAATGTAATGATTATATTATGTTTTTTTAAGAAATCCTAAATGAGCCACTATGTTTTAGCTCTTGAAAAATGTTTGCCATTTATTTTTCGTTTGTATCTTTTCAAGTGCGCAACAAATTGTTCACGGGTATTGCTTGCAAAAAAAAAATTTGACGCATAACTTGAATCACATTCAAGCCGGTTCGAAACAAACGAACACATTATTTTTAATTATCATGTTCAATTAGATTCTTTCTATTTTGTTCATTGTATCCTTGCTCGTTTCGCTTTCGTTTGTTAATGGAAACGATGGATGCGATAACATATTTTAAATGCAATCTTATACAAGCAATGAAACATCGGCTGTCTTGTTGGTTTTGTTTAATTTTTCGGATCAAACATAATGTAAAAGAGTGATAGAGATGTTAAATCAATGCGAACAAAATACACACGAGCCAATTTATTAAAACAAACAATCCTAATGGCAAAATTCAATTAAAATTCCTTTAAGCGCCTTCTGTTTGATTCACATAAACTCATAAATTGGTATATATAATTTTTTAGAAAAAGTGCTCGAAATCAATTGAATAAGAGATACATGGTCGGAGAGTAAAGAAGATAAGTGGAAATTGCACGAGATGTGTGTGTGTTTGTGTGTGCGCCATGTATGTTTTTTCAAATGTATCAAATCAAATCAATCATATATGTCGCGACAAAAAGACGACGCGCGTAATTGTATCGAGAATTGCATTCCTTACTACACTTACAACCTAGCACACAACTTACGTTACTTCGATAGCAGCCTGAGCTGACGGAACAACCACATGAACTAGGGTCAGTGCTGCAACGATGACCAGATAATTTATCGCCTGCATTTTATTTCCTTCTCTACTTTCGATTGCTGTCGTTTTTATGTTGGTTTCCTCCTTTTGTTTCTCGATCCGGTTATGCGTTATCTTTCTGCACGACATTTGAAAAATGTACAAAACAAAACAAAAAAATAGAGAAGAAAATAGAAAATGATGATATTTGTTCCTTTTTTTAGTTTACAACTGATATAAATGATTGAAGTTCTGAGAATCTGCTGCATATCTAGAACGACATGATTTTTATGAGAACGCACACGATTCACTATGCGTGACTTAGATGACACAAAATATAGTTTTTGTTTTGTGGAAACATGATAAATCGAAACGGAAATCAAAAGTGATACACAAGTTAATGACATTATTCCTTTCGAGCGAAAGTTTTCAAAGGAAAAATAAACCAAAAATCCAGGTTTCTGGACCTTAGTAAATCTATTTCACTTTGAGAATTGTTTTCAGAGTTGTGCTAGTTTTTTAGTGATAACATAACTGTCATCGATATCACATTTGTGATAAACGCCGAACATTTTTCCAGTTATACAAACTTTGAGGGAAATTTCGAATAATAATTGGGGGTATTCAAAAAATTATCACGTAATGTCTCAATTATTCATTTTCATGTAAATTGGAAGAACTCTTACAATGTATGCCTTCGATGCTAACCTATATTTCATATCGTTTATTTCCAGAGTTGTTATAGTCACCACGGAGCTTTTCTTGCAAGTGCTACTCCTTGAAAAATTATGTGAAATAAGTGCGGGCACTCAATAGTGCCCTTACTTCTCCGGTGCCAATAACAGCTCTGTTTATTTCGCTGTACAAAGTTTTATTGATATCACACCCTTCAACCAAACCAAATCAATTTAAAACAACCGTTTGATTTTCAATTGCGCTCTAGTTTCTTAATAAACTACAGATTTCCTTAACCCTGTCTACTGTTTTTCCTGTATTTACGCAGAGATAAGAGACTTTATTATACGTTTCACATTTGAAAACTTTTTTTATTGAAAAGGAATATATTGAACAATTGCATTTACTTGGTAAAATTGTTCATATCACGTCTTTAGATTAATCTTATTCAGTGCTGTCCAGATAAACTCACTAAAGTGTTGTCGTTTAGAAATTTAAATAAAAATATTTGAGCAACTATTAAAGTTGTTTAATATGGTTTTTTTGCTCAATTTTTTTGGAGTTTACCTGGAGTGAAGATGTCAATTTTTTATCGAAAATAGGTTGGAATTTTTTTTTTTGGAAAATATTTTGATGAAGTTTCAAAACGTCTTTTCTAATTTCAAGTGCCATTTGATTTCAATTTGGGATTTTTTTTATCGTAAGTTAATTAATTTAAATGGCGAAATCTCCGAATTGATTATATTTGCAAAGGGCACTGAACCAAAAACCTAATAAAATAAATGATTGACTTTTTTTTGTCTCCGTTATATAGTATGGATGATATTTTTTTTGCTGACAAATTTATTTATTGCGATTGGCTCTCTATCAGTGATTATTTGAACTTAACACATTTTGCACTTGAGGAAATGATCTTGTAAATGTGCACATTTTGCATGTATTTCGTGTGATGAGTTTTTAAAAATTAAAAAGATACTTTTCTTATCAGTAAAACGTTTTTGTCTTATTTACAAGTGAAAAATACAGTTTCAAATGACTAAACTCACCCGTGATCAAATAAATGTTTAGAATACTCAATTTAAAAGAAAAAGAAAATACACAAAGTAAAAAATTTCTTTCCTTTTTTCTTTCACACTCAAAGGCAGTGCAACAGTTCGTCTGTTCGTACCGAGTTGAGCACCGCAACTGAAACGATTTTTAACGAGATTTATTTTGTTAAACGGTCGTTTCATTTCAGAGTAACGCACAAATACATTCAGTCAGACATTGTTGCTTTCAGCTAGAAGAGAAGTAATTTGAGATTTATAATCCGGCTATTTGTTTGTCTTGGTAAAGAAAGCAGAACGATCGTCATAAAACGCACAAAAATGACTCTATGCCTGAAAACCGTATAGGCAATGAGATGACGAACGACAATACTATATGTGTGTACATCGATAGTGGTAATCAAAACGACGCATTATCGAAATGAGAGCTATGTGTGTGCTGAGGCCGAACGTGTGAATGAACAAGATAGAAAAACAAAATAGATGAGATGCAGGCAACACCAACGCTCTGAATGGGAAAAAAACGTAAAAATGACTTTTAACAGAAATAAGTAACACATGTAAGACATAAACCAACTCCCGCATATATTATATTGGATTATGTGCGTTGCACATCCGAAAAAAAAAAGGATGAGAAAAAGGCCAAGTTTTTATAATCTTCATAAAAGAAACAACAACAACAAATATTAAAATACATTAATTGGTTTTCCTCAGAACACATGTTCGTTCGCTGCAACAGTGCAACAGATTGCAGTGGCCCCCATTCGATGGAATGCAATTGCTTACATAAAAATGGTTTATTTTCAATTCTGTATTGGTGAATGCATGTCAAAATAGTGGAATTCTTTTTTAAAAATAGAGCCACTTTAATTGTTCATGGAAGATAAAACAATGATGAGAGAGTGATGCAAACACAAAACAATTAGTGAGAGTATAAACACCGACAAATACGATTCAATTGAACCAAAGAATCCATTCAATTGAACAAGATTGATTAGTGCAGGCGCATATCAATCAATATTGTTGTTTTTTTATCAACAAAAATATCGAAATAGACATTATCCGAAAGAAAAAGAATATCTCCATCTCCTTCTCTCTGTCTGAGGAACATTGGACTAGAAAGCAGCTAGAAAATGAAAATATTTATTGAAATCAAAACTCGAAACTTGAATACCGCATAATAAACTCAAGTAAACCAGACTCCTTCTGGTGTTGCTGGTATTTATTTAAAATTTTGTTTATTATTATTAGCTTAAACCAAAAATATCGACCATATGACGCACGAATAATTTGCCGCTATATATTTTTCCTTCTTTTCAACCGAAAGAGAACAGCAAATTAAGTGTATTTTGAACGTGATTTTCCAACCGGTCATTGAATTTTCATGTCAAAACACACATGTTTCAATATTGTAAAACAATGAAGTCAGACGGAAATTAGCGTCATACGTTAAAGAGAACCATCAATTATCCAACTAAAATGTTTCTTTCAAGTTTGCGTATGTCTCTGCTTTGAATTTATGCAGTTGCATTTGTGCGTCCGAGTGCGCAATAAACAAATGGCAGCTGAAAATGTGTACAAGTGTAAATAGACGGGGATACTCAATGTTTGAAAGGCTGTTCGTAAATTAAACACCAAATCTTAAAACGACACTCGTCAATTCATGCGAAACAAATAACCGCGTCTCGCATTCAGATGTTTGCACATGATGCTCAACGCAGCCAATAAATTTTCCACACGGTGAACGTTCTACTTGTTAGATGCGTAATTTTAAAGATTTATTTGCGTTTCAATGTATACATTGTTGTTTGACACTTTTTGTTTAAACTTAAATGATTGATTGTATAACATTTCAAAATGCTTTACAACAAATCTGAGTCTGAGATGAAGAGTCTTTTTATCAATTGGCACTGTTATAAAATTAAATACATTTTGGAATTCAGTTAAAAATAGTTTTGAAAATATGCGCCACGAAATCCGAGACCGTCATACAATTTTTCATAATATTTTATGTCATTTTGTCGATACGCAATCACCTTACAAAATTTACAAAAAAATATATTTCTTTTTTCATTTTCTATTTTTGTTGTTAGGAAACCGTGAAAACTTTTGAAGTTAAGATACTCGATTTTTGTCAAGAATAATAGAAAAATGATTGTTATTGTTTTTGTCTTAAAATAAGTACGTGCGGTGACGTATGTGTTCATTTGAAATGTTAAAGGGAAAAAAATGATTTTCGTCTCGTCAAAGTGCAACGAATAAAATGGAGTATTCGAACTTGAATGCGATCAAGTTGTGTTTTAATGAAATACTCGCTGAGTACGTAAACGTGCTCCATAAAATGCAAGCGATCTCCCCTTTGATACATTCATTTATGAGTTCTTGTCAATAAAAAGTTGATTCGGAAAACTGGTCGTAGTTTTTGTTCGGTTGTTCTATCTTAAACTCTAACTTCATAATGATGGCGTCTATGTGAAAATTCTCGGTGCAATATTCATAGACATCAGCTCTTGGATAAGCAGCTTTGTGGCATATGGTAACTTGACTTGCGTAATCTGAATGGAAGAAGAAAAATATTTTTTTCTTGTCACTAGCATTTTCGATTGGTATTTATAGTCTAAACTTACTGCGCATCTATTCTCACATCCACGGCATTCGAATTTGTTATTCCTTCTGCTGATGGCAATTAAACCGCAATATTCGCAGACATGCACACGATACGGATCGGAAACTTCGAAAAGACGCTCCCTTAAGAATTGGGCGGCACCGTGCGATATTTGGCAATCACGTTCCATCTCGCCAAAACGTAGACCGCCATCGTTGCATCTACCTCCGACTGGCTGCCGGCACAAAATTTGCGTCTTGCCACGAGATCTTGAATGAATTTTGTCATCAACCATATGCTATATTCGGATAAACACAAAATTATTATTAAAATTATTTGTGAGAGAAAATAAGCGGGCAACCAATATGATTCAATTGAAATAAAGAATTACCTTGAGGCGCTGGTAATAGGTTGGTCCGATGAAGATTTGCGACTTGATCTTTTGACCCGTGTGACCATTGTACATGACTTCATTGCCTCGCATATGATAACCGTATTGTTGTAAAAATGTTGAAATTTTCTGCACATTTACAATGTCATTGAATGGAGTCGCATCACCGATTTCACCTTTGTTTGATACCAGTTTGCCTTGCAAACACTCAATCAAATGGCCAATTGTCATTCGAGATGGAATTGCATGTGGATTGATGCTATTGTGAGGATATTAAAAAATTGAAAACGGGACAAAAAATACTTCTTTAAATATAAATTACATGATATCGGGACTGAGACCTTCGCAGGTGAATGGCATATCTTCTTGACGATATTGCATTCCACAGGTACCTTTTTGTCCATGTCGCGAAGCGAACTTATCACCAATCTGTGGGATTCGTTCTGATCGTATACGAACTTTACAAAATCGATAGCCATCTGCATTGGTTGTCATCGTAACATGGTCAACGATGCCAGTTTCATTGTGTCGCAATATGGTTGACACATCATGTTTTGAGTAGTTTGTCACTTTTTCGTCCAACTGCAAACAGAAAATAATTGGAAAATCATGGAATTATAGATGACTTTTTTGTGCATACGTCGTCAATCTCTGCAGTTGATTTCATGGTTTTTCCAATGATAACATCGTCACCCGAAACTCGAATTCCTGGTGCAATGAGACCATCTTCTTCTAATTTATCGTATGATGCATTGCTCATCCCTTTGCATGTCCTCCGATCGGGCACTTCAAATTCTTCTTCATGAGCATCGACTACTTGTTTTTCCATGCTTTTGTATGATCGATAGAAAACAGAACGGAAAAATCCACGTTCAACAGCCGTTGAATTCAATATGATACTGTCTTCCTGTGAATAAATGTTGAAGGTTCGATGAAAAAATTGCAAATTTTATTGCAATCACTTACTTGATTGTAGCCAGTGTAACACAAAATAGCGACGATTGAATTGATGCCAGCTGGCAGTTCGTTGAATTTCAAATATTGCATTGATCGTGTTGTCACCAGCGGTTTCGTTGGATAATAAAGTATATGCGACGATGTGTCCATTCGATGATTGTAGTTGGTGATATAAACGCCCATCGCCTGCTTGGTCATAGCACTTTGATAGTTGAAACGAAAAAAAATGTGGTATTGACCATTGATACGAATGCAATTTTAAGTAGATTTGGAAACTTACCTTTGATAGGTGTTACGTGGACTTTGATTATGATCGGGAAATGGAATAATTGAAGCACATACACCCAATATCATGGCCGGATGTATTTCGCAGTGTGTATACATCGAACAATATTCAGATACTCGATTTTCTCTCATATCGTTTGGTGACATTGCTATCATCGTTTGTTCCTCTTCATTCACATCGATGTATTCAACTACACCGGATGACACCAATTCTCGCCATCCGTAATTGTTATACTCTCGATTTTTCAGCAATTCAATGTGATCTTGTTTCATAAGCAACTGACCATTTTCGACAACCATCACTGGCCTACAAATTCTTCCGGCATCGGTATTTATGCGGATTTCTTTGTCTCGTAAATCACGTACGATTGACACCTCCGATATGAGCAATTCGGTGTTACGTTTCAATTGTTTCAAAAATCTCATAAAATCTTCGGGCTTGTGATGTACACCCACCCAACAGCCATTTACAAAAATCTTGGTGGCATTTTGAATGTCTGATGCTGCAACGATGTCCAAATTTTCCATGCGCCATTCTTCCAAAAATTCAAGAATCGGCTGTTGATTTGAACCAACCGAAATGTATGCCATCAATGCCAAATTCTTAACCAAACCAACAGCAATCCCTTCGGGCGTTTCTGCCGGACAAATCATACCCCAGTGTGTGTTGTGCAATTGACGCGGTCTACCTAATATTGAGACGTTTTCAGAGTAATGATTTTCATTAAATCACTGTGAAAAAAAAAGTTATGTAAATTAAAAACTCACTCATTTTGGTACTTCTGTCAATTGGTGAATTTATCCGTCTCAAATGAGACAATGTCGAGGCATATGTTAGCCGATTCAGTACTTGAGATACGCCGCAACGATTCTGATGCGCTTTTTTCTGATCGCCCCAATTGCCGGTTGCAAGTGAATAACGTAAACCGTTTGTAATGATCATTGGTTTTATGGCACATTCTATCTTATAGCTTCTATGCAGATCGACATACTTTTGTATATAAAATTTAGCTTCTTTCACTAGATTCCTGAATAGACCACGAAATAAAAATGCCAACAATGGTCCGGCTAAATCTAATCGTTTGTTTCCATAGTGATCTCTGTCATCACAGTCACGCCGACCCAATGCTGCCATCAAAAGGCGATGCATCATGTAACCCAAATAAAATGCCTTTTTCGTTTGACATTCATGAATTCCGATGTGTGGCAACATTTCGTGTTGTAAAATTTCTTTGGCATATTTGATACGTTTGTCTCTGTCGATGCCCGGTCGTGCACCTCTAGCGCCAATAAAGTCCAATGCAACATTTTGCTCTTGAATTACAAATGCCTCATCAAGCGACGCCTTAATAACTTCCATCATTTCATGATCATCAAAATCGTAAATAATTAGTTCCAAAATATCACGATCAGGCACGTAGCCCAAAGCACGAAATACAACCATAATCGGAATCTCTTGCTTAATATATGGTAAAATGGCGATAATCGGTTGGCCAAAAGTTGATTTTCGACTGATTAGCTGACGTCGGGCCATCATATTCACCCAAAGTGTTGTTGTTGGTCGCGATGTATTCTCCAAACATGATCGAACTTCAGTTTTATACGCATATTTACCGTCCTTCATGCTGAACACATACACTGTATTCATTGCCATTTTTTCTTGAGCAATAACGACCTTTTCTTCGCCATTGACAATGAAATAGCCACCCGGATCCAATGGGCATTCATTTATCGCCGTCAATTCATCATCAGCAAGTGAATATAAATGACAGAATGTTGAACGCAACATAACTGGAATCTTTCCGATGTTTACTTTGGGATGTTCCACCACATTTTGTTCGGTGTCATCGACCAATTTCGAGACTTTAATATCAGCATACAATGGAATTGAATATGTCAAATTTCGAAGACGTGCTTCATTTGGCAAGAGATTATTTGCTGTGCCACATTTTTCCCAATGCACCGGCTTACTGAAGTAAACTTGATCGAATTTAACCACATGACGAACCTAATGAATACACTCTCTTCTATTAACTGTTTCATTGTAATTTTAAAAAAAATAATTTACCGTCTTTTCCATTTCACCCGTAATATATTTTGGCTCTTGTACTACTACAATCGGTGGCGTATCGTACACAATTTGCTGTATCGATATCTATTATTCAATGATTAAAAAATGTTTATTAACATTGATTTTCATTTGTTTCGCGAATAGAAAAGTATACAAACCTGAACGAATTCATCGTAACTCTCGATTTGTTGGCGCACAAGACCATTTTCATCAAAGTATGCATTGATTACGATCCAACTGGCCTCTTGCCACAGCTCAGGAAGAATTTCGTCATTTTCCACATCCAAATATTCTGTAAAGTAAACATTTCGCTTGAATTCATTTCTGGAACCAGTTTCATTTTAAATGTCAAATTTTAAGCAAACAATTCGCAATATTCTATATATTTTCTGTGTATTATGTCGAGACACTAGACTTTGGCACCATAATCAACAATTAGAAAAATAATTTTGACACTTCAACTTTTTTTGTTGAATAAATTCCCGAATTCAAAAAAATCAAAAAGTCAAAACGTAGTCAAATTATAAGAATTGAACGAAAACGTAAAAAAAATATAAAGAATATTGTCTGGAATATGATTTGATGTTCATTTTGAATGTTTTTGTTTTGTTCATTTTATTTCACATTTTATTTGTACATTGGCTGTAGCCAATTGGCATCGTTCACATTAATGGTGGGTGACGTATCACAATTCGTAAGTAAAAAATAAAAATTTACCATCCTCATCGTTGGTCATTTTGATTCCCGAAATCCGAAAATGATCGGCAACCAAAAATTATTGAAAAATGTGTATAACCCAAAGCACTGCAGTCAACTGTTCAATGAAACTAACGCAATACCACTGTAATATAAATGACACATCGAGCGAATGGTGGTTTATATTATTTATCTCATTTTGACTGTGTGCATGTTTTGAATGTGACAGATTCAGGCGCCTCAATATTAGTCGACCAAGTATTGTAAAGTAAATAAACAATGGGTGAACGGGAGAAAGAGAGAAATATGAAATGATGAGAGTTAAGTCTCAAAACTGCAGGCAACAGCAAAAAATAAACAGTTGACACTACAACATAGACGCACAAATGCAGAACGAAATTGAATTCTACACAAATGTTTGATATCATATTTTTTTGATGGAGACATTTTTTGTGGTGTCAATTTCAAAGCAAAAATCTAAAAAAAATGTTACATTGATTATTTAAACGGTTTTATAGCACAAAAGCCTAATTTGTAAAGTAATAAAATTAATTTTTTTTTCTTTCTATTAAATAAATCCTTTAATATAACATCATTTTTTCATCATTTTATTTCAATTGACAATAAAATACAGAGAATGTATACATATATATATTTATTCATCACGCTGGTTTCACACTATTTTATCTTGGTTTTGGTTGTAGTTGATTTTCTTTTACAATCAATGAGTAATAAATAATGTGATGAAAATATAATTTAAAATATCTCTTTCTATTCTGTCTGGTTCTAAATCGTTCCTCTACATCCATTCAACTTTTGCTCAATCGGTCAAAAACACTGCGATTGCCATTCATCGACTTCCATAATATATTACGTAATATAATGGTTAAATTTATCAACAAATCTATTTGATTTCATTAATAGGTGTTAATTGTTTTTTTTTTTTAATTAAAATTACACTGGTTTCTTTCATTTACTTCAGTTTGGACGAAATTTTGACGAATTTTATGTCGTCTTTTAGTTGCTTGAATTTGTTGGATTTTTTTTTTCAAATCAGTATTTTATTGTAGGTTTTGTGAATGAAATACGGATGGTGCATTTTATAATAAATTTGCTAGCTTTGAATTGTGTGCTAGGAATTAGGCTATTGTTTCACCAGTTTTAATTCGTTCATTTTGTACTACAAATACTGATCTATATTTAAAGCGACTAGGATTATGCCATTGACAATCAAATGCATCTTTATCGCTCGATTTTGGTAAAATGGTTTTCGTTTTCTTTTGTGAAAGATTTGATTTTTTTAAGGTTTATAGAATAGACGCCTTTTTAAATTAAACATCACTTATTTAATGTATTTATGGTACTGTGGTCGATGACGATGCTGCTGCTGTGGATGGGGATGACTGTGTATTGTTGTTCACAGGTTGAGGTGTAATTGGTTGTGGATTTGTTGAGTTCATCGTTTCACCACCGGTTAGAATTTCGCTGGGAAAACCAGTCACCTTTGATTCGTTTTGACTCGCTTGTAATCCATTTGATTCGCCGAACATTGCATTGTTTACCTGAAAACGAAGATGTTTATTTTTATTATTTTTTTAATTCCATTTATTATGATTAAATATTAAAAATAAATGAATCATCGAAATGAATGAGTTAAAAATCTGTAAATGTTTGATTCCTTACGTTTGAATCGTGTTCTTTTTTTGCTTCTTGTTGTTGTACCAATAGATCACGGAGTGTTGCATCGAAACTGCTTAGATTCGACTTCAAAATCATCACATCACTGTTCACCCGTGTGACAAGGCTATCAAGTTGTCGATTCGCCAGCATGAATTTTGGCCATTCACTTTCAATGGAATTGACATGTGATGATACGTTCGCGAAATTCTCAGTAAGAGAATCTAATTTGTTCTTATGATCATGCATTTCATCGTTTATGCTCTTGATTTTTTCGCTATATCTATCATTCAATGCGGCCAATTGACTGGATACATTTTTCAAATCGTTTGAACATTTATCGGTTAAATTTTTCATCCATGACAATGTTTCATTCTGCAAACCACTTGTGAAATTTGATTGCGATGCATTTTTTATGCTGTCAACACTATTTTGAAGTGCATCCAAACGTACTTTATCGCTTTGCTGGGCGGATTGTATACCCGAGTAACCTTCTTTAATAGTCTTCACATCAGTTTCAAGAGCTTGAATTTTGGCACCAAATCCACTGACCGTATTTTTTAAATCAATCGCCTTATCTCCATCTGGACCGTCACCCTTACGGATACTGTCTTTTAATTGTGTGAACTGCAAAGCACAAGAATATCAATAACAATTTTAGTTGCAATTTGAAAGTAAATTTATGAATGAATAATTACCTCCTTTTCGACCGTTTCAATGCGCTGTTGTATTTCATATATTTTATTGCCAATGGCCGTTTGGTTCTGCTCCAATGTTTGTAAACTTTCGTGTAATTTATGTAAAGTCTCTGGCATATTCGAGCATATTGCAGACGCTGAAAAATGAGAGTAAATAGATAAAAAGTGTGATTTCAAAAAATGACGTAAATCGTTAAAAAGTGATTAAAACGAACAAAACAACAACAACAACAACAAAAACGAACGAGAACTTCATCACAAAATGTCAATACAAGCCAATAATAATGTTTGGTTGCAAAAATCATTCACAAAATCAATTCACCTTGTTCTAATTTTGTACGATGTTCAGAAAGTTGTTCCCGCAGATCGAAATATAGCCAATACATTAACGAAATTAAAAGAAAAACGCTGAAAATGAACAGCAATGGGACACAGGTTCGCAAAAATGAGTAATGCTTTCGATGACGCTTCGCTATTTGAATTTTCGACTATGACAGCCACATTCATTGTAATAAAATAAAATTAAAGAGAATTAAAAAAACAGGGAAAACAAAATGAACGTTTTTATGAGATAAATAAGATTATTGAACGTATGAATGCACATTGCCCAGCATTGAAGTGTGCGCTTGCATGCTGTGGCAGGCAGGCAAACAAGCGAATATTTCAAAAATAGAATTTATTTTTATCAAAGAGTTTTGAAGAGTATACCAATGAATATTCTTCTTGGTCGTCTGTGGACACTGACAGCAATTGATCCTGTGAATTGATGCCATTTCCAGCTGCTTGTCGTTTGCCTGAATTACATGCTCTATTTAAAAATATCAATGCAATTTAAGTGTTTGTGTATTTTGGGCTCACACTTCAAGGTCAATTATATAAATATATATATAGATTTGATACCTTTTTGCTAGGCTGTGGGCAACAAGTGCATCTAATTCGCGCCTTTTTCGCATTTTTTTACCGCTCGATCGAAGCGGCACATTCACAGAATCCATCATTTACAGTTCAATTTTTACTATTTATCACTCGATTTATATGCTTTTCAATTGTTTCCTCCTCGAAATCTATTCGATATGAAATTGCGTTCTATTTTTTTTCTTTTTCGATTCTGTTTCAAAGCAAAATAACCAACAGATTAAAATCTCGTAAATGTTTTGGTTTCAATCCGGAGGCAATTTGATTTTATCAAACCGTCTACAATCAAATTGAGAACAGCGTCACTCACGCGCACTAACTTCAAAAGCACAATTAAATGTATGTCACGTGATCCTTCCAATAGATTTTCTCTGTCGTCATACTTGCGATGTATGCAATGTCAGCTCGTTTATTATTTATGTGATGGAAAGGCCCATTTGCTGGGTGAAGTAAAGAAAAAACGCTGGTTCACTTTATGCTGGTATGTTTCATTCCATTTTTAGCACTTTTATGCTATTGGTTTTGTTTTGATTTTCGTTTTTTTCATCGATTTTAAAATCTATTACGTTTAAACGGCACAATTGGACGAATTGATATACTAAATACTTGGGAATGTAGTTAACACGATTTTAGTTTTTTTGGAATGGTAAAATCAGAACACAAACGATTACTTTCAACAATTGAACGAATTATTCATTAAATTTTACAACTAGAAACTGGCAAATTTCGGGCAATTAAGGTTATTTTATTTATATCAAGAGATTGACAATAAAATATAACACAATTTTGAAGCTCTGTCAGGGTCTTTACGAATCACAATAAAAGAAACAACACGACGACCACTTGAAAACGAGTTTTTGCTTCCCTTTACTGTTCTGACTGAACGAGAATTGGAAAAGCTTTCATTCTATACACTCGGTATTGCTCCCCCGTTTATGGCAATTTGCCGCGCATGCGAATTTGCTTTGCATGCATTTTCCATCAAATACACGATATAATCACTTCACGTACTCAACCAAACCCAATGCACTCATATGTTGAAAGAGAGAGAGGGAGAATATGACGAGTTTCGTATTTTGATAAGATATACAAAGTACGTGTCAGTGTGTAGTGTTACGTTGAATACACTGACGTTTTTTACTTAATTTTTTTTTCTGCCGTCGAAAACAACCGCACTGAATGACGGTTAATATGCGAATGTATGACAAATGAATGTCGCAAAACAACCAAACACAAATCTACGAATCAATCGTGATGTAAACAACATTTTGTGACAACGAAGTCCATAAAAATTATTACAGTTAATCATATCGTACGATAATTATCATACCCAGATAGTATATCATTTGTGAATGATTTCATTTGAAAAAAAAAAAAAAATAAACGGAGTTTTAAACATTATCTTCTTGGAATATTGAATTAAAATTTTCCGCTATACGTTATTTGTTAAATAGCAGTATTTTTACTCACATTTTTTGACATCTTCGTTCAGTTCATGGTATTCAGAATTCATGATGGCTAACATATATGATAACGAAAACAACCAAGCAGCAGATATAATAATGCACATCCAAATGCTCACATATTTACAATTGAATTTGATAAATTCATCAGTCTCTTGGTGATTTAGGCGATTATTTACTTTTGGCCTCGTTTTTCTGAAACAAAATTTTCAAGTGATGAACAAAATTCGACAAGTGATGAACAATCGCAAAAATAGATAAATGGCCTTGATGCTTATGTCATTATAACTTGTAATTACCTTCGAACTTTACGTTTCTTTTGAAAAGCTATTTCCGGCAACTCTAAATCCGATAGCGATTTCAAATCATCGGATAAGTGAAGCAATTGAAATGATTCAGCACTGTTACTATGACGATTTTGCATTCTTTTTACATTTATCATTCTTTGGGAGGACCTAAAAATACACCTTATTCAATCTACTAAAGACACTCATGGGATTTTTTTTTACAATCACAAGCTGATTAAGCTAAACCAAGTTATTTTTCATTTAATTTGTAAAAAAGACGATTTTTTAAAGTATTTTGTTGATTCTATTGCTTTTATTCTGGAATTATTGCTTGAATATTCCCTTTGTTTTGCTGCATTCACGAGATACATGAGTTTTTGAAGTTGACAGCTTAAATGTCAAATTTGAGTAAAAATGGCTGCGTACTTGATGCGATACGAACTGTACATTACGCGTTATTTTTGAAAGCAGCGGAATGCTTGATATACGAAAGAAAAATAATAAAATGTTATTTTGTGACACAAATTATTATTGAATTAGGATCTTTAATTAATTTAGTTTCATGTTCTATTTTCAACCAGTAAATCCATTCTCTTTATTATGAGTTTTATGTTTTCCTTATTCTTAGGTTAAAGTTCGGGTAGTTTTTTAAAAATGAGATTTTTTCTATTTATAACAATAAAAAGATGAATTACGTCACATTGATATGATAACCATGTTATTTACAGTACCAAAAAAGGCAATTAATTGCCAAAAGTAAATTTTGTACTTGTTTCGATGTTTGGCCAAACTATAGATTCGATCCAGTCTAAATAGTATGAAATTCTAGTATAAACAACTGGTAGCGTTGAACAACCACTAATTCGAAATGATGCAATGCCAATAATTTCGGCTAAATATTGACGACCCGGAAAATGTTGAAGGGATCCTCCACTAACTTCATTTTTTCTTTGCGCTATTGCCATTTTGAAGAGTTGTACGATTTGCTTGTTTATTAAAGTCTGCAAGCACTGCGTTGCATTCGGACAGTGGTATTGAGTTCAATTGATGTTCAACCAAGACTGGCGATCGGACAAGCTCTTAATGAAATAACAGTAGTTACAAAAAATGTCAACAGGGGATTGTTTATGATGAACTTACGGTCAGCTGATGTTGAACCCCATTGTGTAACGAACAGATTTTCATTTGATTCGACGTCACTAATATCAGTGCGCAAGCATTCTGGTAATACGTCATTGTTAAAGCTGATATTGGTTTTCGTCGAATCAAGGCAAGGTCATTTTTCTTTGTAATAAGCGAATTATCTGGATGCTGGATGATATCCAATTGCGCAACGAACAAAAAGTTTTGAAAAATGCTGTTTAACTTTTTGCTAGTTTTCCGAATACCTACTCTGTTGATGTCAATAAAATGTGATTTACAAACTCACTCTCCAGAAGCTGAAATATACGTAAATAAACATAATATATGTATATGTTTATGTACGATCAACAATATTTAAATTTTAAAAGAGCTTAATTACCCAAAGGAACAGTTATAGCAATGGCATTAAACACCAAAAATATAAATTGATCCATGCTCAATAGTTAATAGAGCGTCTTGTGACACACTATGATTCCTCAAATCTATAACTAATTTGTGAGTGAGAATGAACACCAACAAATAAAAGTGATGAATGCTTGTGGCTTTGAATGCTCTTCATTCACTGACAATTTTTTCGAACAAAACTCGTGTTATATAAATTACGGCAATAATTATTATCCAATGAATGTATACAACGATGAATAAGATTTTTCAATTAAATTATTAAATATCGATTATTGTTTGCGGTATAAATTATTCAAACTTTCATCTTTTGCAAATGTATTTTCACCTTTCAAGAGAATCTTTAATGCGTGATGTTTCGCTAGTTGTCTGTTTATACTTGGAAAATCTGTTGAAGTAATGATTAATCGGTATTCCCGTTTTGTTTTTAATTTTTTCGTTATCGATGTGAAATTGAACCTGTTTGTAAATGAAACATAGTTTAGATAGTGGCATGAGCAATTTCAATTTTTTTTTCGAATTAACTAGGGGGTAATTTGGTTAATTCTATCTTCTTGGGAACAAAATTGATGATCGAGGTAGGGGAAGAATTCTCGTCAAGATATGTGAAGATGTCATTAATAATCCGTTCTCAAGAGCAATAGTTCCATATATTAAACTAAAGTATTTTAGAAAAATGCGATTGATTTTCATTTTGAAATAGATGCAATAATAGCATGTGAAAAATAGAACTGTGCACGTACACATTCGTACATGTAATGAATAATTATCAACATTTTAATCAAATTAAAAACTCCTTTTAATGACTTACTTAAATACTAATTCCTTTATAATGAATAGTCTAAATTATTACGGAAACTCAGGTAGGGCAAAAATCTATGATAACTTTCTTTGAATTTAGCTAGGAATTTAGTTTTCGTTTGTTTTTGCAGGCTATTTCAACATAACAGAAAAAAGACACGAATTTAAAATGTTGCCCCATAAGATTGCTTCTATTTTGATTTTTTTCGATATTTTTGGATATAATTCCGGTTTTTCTCCCCTATTATTAGCTCACCGAAAGATTGCCCCCATCATTAATATTATGCACATAATATTTGCAGTGCTTTTTACACTTTGTAAAATGAATTTAATAATTATGCTATTGTCATCAGTGACAATGCTTCAAGTGATCAATAGTACTTTGAATTATTCTGTAATGATGTATACATATTGGATTATTATATTCGATTCAAATATTCATCGAAAGGAACATCACCATTTCTATGAAGTTCTTTGTAAAATCAACAAATTCTATTGCTGTCAAGAAAATATCAATTTAAGATATTATTTAGTGAAAATGTTCATATACTCTTTCTACTCGATTTTACTCATGGTTCTGTTTAATTTCAAACAACACCACAGATATCTTTATTTGGTGTACATGAGTTTAGTGAAAATCTGTGAAATTCGAATGTGTTATTATTTATTTTGTCTCGAAATGTTACAATATCAATTGAAATCAATTGATACGTTGATCTCAAATGTTGGATTTGATTTAAATCGATTGAAACGGATCAGAGAATACCATCATTGCGTATATGAAATGACACATTTTTTGAATTCTACATTTGGATTGTCGCAAGCAGCCGTAATTTTATTTTGTTTTTATTGTTTTCTGACTTACTTGAATTGGTTTATTGAATACGCTCAAATTGATTACGAACAGTATGGTACAATGGAAATAATGAGTATGAATGAAACGCTTTTAATTATTTATAATTAAAAAACAATATGACAGTAATTAAACTCTTTCAGTCACATTATGTTGGATATTAAGTCCTCCGATGTTAGTCTATTTTTTATCTGAGATTACGACGCGGAATCACCTCATCGTATGTTTGATTTAGTCGAAACAAATTAAGCTTGTATATTTTTTAATTTATTGTTTTAGACTGACAGTGTCATTTTTCATCTAAACGAGAATTCTTTGAATTATGATCACGTTTTACAGTTGATACAGGTAATAAAATGAATTGACTCACGAAAAATATTGAAAATTCACTTTTTAGATTGAAACAACGCAATTGCATTTAATTCATCATTCGATTCGACTCCATGCTAAAGGCCTTTTTACGGTTAACAGCAGAACCTTTCTTAAAGTATATCTATTTTTTGTCATAAATGAGTTATTTCTCATATTGCATACCCTTTTTAGCTTACTGCCACGTGTATCACATACATGGTTATATACATTCAACTTTTATCAATTTAAATAAAACATCAGCCACACTACTACCAACTTCTTCACGATTTAGCTTTATTTTCTAATATTCATTCAATTATAGCTCAAAAATGTTTCTAGTGACCGATACTGATCGATGTTTTAATCAAATTAAAAACTATTCATTACTTTCTTTCTTTTATTTATTTAATTTCTTTATTGATTATCATTGCTGTCGGAATCATTTTCGTTTATCAATACATTTTATATAAATTTAAAGTCCCTCAACAGAAAACTCAGTTAGTTTCAAATACATTGTTGGATAATTTCTAAAATGCTTTCCGCTAGCATAAAATACGCTTTGACTTTTTTCGATGCCTTTGGCTATAATTCAAATTCATCCACGCTATCTAATCGCAAAGTGGCGGCTTATTTTATCTATATCGTGCACATATTGTTGGCAATATTTTATACACTTTACAAAATTCGTGTGATGTTTCTAATTTCTGAAATACCTCTGATGGACATGTTGAATTCGATTTTTCAATATTCATCGGCACTTTATACCTATTGGTTTATTATTTTGGATTCGATTTTCTATCGAAAAAAGCATCAACTTTTCTGGGAAATCTTTAAAAAAATGAAAACATCACATCAATGCAATACAATCATTTTGTGTTCGATATTAAAAATGATTTTATATTACTGTTCAACCACTTGTTGTTTCATATTTCTTGTTCTTGTAACAATTTATTCAGTAAATGATGTAATGTATGTGTACAATATGTTGGTAAAAATGTGTGAAGTGAGAATATTTTATTACATGTTCTGTTTGGAAATTATAAACGTTCAACTAAAAACAATCGAAAATGAATTGATAAGCGGTAAAAAGAGGATACGTTCATGGCTTAAATGTAAACAATTTAAATGGATTCGAATATATTACGAATGTGTGAATGACATGACGAATTTGTTGAATGAAATGTTTGGATTTTCACATGTTATCAACATTTCATTTTGCTTTTATATCATTCTTACTGATATAAATTATGCGGTCACACACTACCATGACCTACCCACATTTGAGATCATAGGTAAGAATATCGTTCTTATAGGTAAGAATAACTGAAGTAAACTCTAATATGAAAACTAATTTTATAAAATATCCAATAGCTATGGCCCTTTGGATGGCAAATTCACCACTGATAATTGTTTATTTATCTCAAAGTGTGACACGAACTTTTACGTTGGTATATTATTTAAATTGAAGACTCTTATAACTATATTATTGAATCGAATTTATGTCCACACTTCTTAGGTACAGAGCATAACACATCATTTGAGTGAAATGAACATATGTGTTTATAACGCTACTCTCTTGAATCAGGTGATAAAAATAATTAATTCAGAAAATTTTCAAAACTCTTCAAATTACTATTTTTTCTAGATTGAGACATCACAATTGGACTTCATGCATCATTCGATATTTTTTCATGCAAAAGGGTTAATTTTGATCAATAACACAACATTATTAAAAGTAAAAAAAGTGTTCAGCCATTTTAATCAATCAACACAAACGGTTTTCTTTTATTTCAGTTAACTGGCGCATCTATTGCATTAATCGTCATTTATATTCAATTTTATAAATACAAATTTTAGTGATTAGAAATGTATTTTATGTAAATTCAACCACCCACTCACGCCTACCAGTTCATAATAGAAATGAACATACATTAAGCATTCATTTGAAGAACGACACAGAGAGGAAATTTACACGAATACACTTACAGGTTCTGTATAATTTTTGACATTTTACGTATTGTGTATAATCAACAGAGATATTGTACACTGTCTGTATAATTCGCTATTGATTCATCTGTCAACTCATCTGGCAACATTTTAGTTGCGCTGACATATAAATCAATAGCGAATTATACAGACAGTGTACAATATCTCTGTTGATTATACAGAATACGTAAAATGTCAAACTGTGTGGACATGACTAAATCCAAAAATATTTCCAGAATTCAAATATTAAAAATAAAATGATCTTTTTGAAGTTTGAAATGATTGAATTATTCCATGTAGGTTTTTCATTTCATTTATTTTAATGAGTTATAAAAAAATTCATAATTGCTATAATCGACGTTCACTTTCACAGTCGACTTACCGGTTTATGATTATTTCTTTATCAATTAATTGTTTCAATAGAAATTGACATCATGAAATTAGATTGGTTGAAATAATTATTTTTATGTTTGATTCACCTGATAAAAAATAAATAATCATAATTACTACTCCAATTTAATGGTTGCTTCTCGTCATTATTTTCAGGCATAATCTATCATTTTAAATGCAGACTTTAAAGAACATAGAAAGTATTTTGTTTTAAAAACGCGTCATGCTGCCCAATCAAATAAAGACAATTTTATTTTTTTTCGACATTTTCGGTTATAATTCCGCTTCATCTAAATTATCGAAAAATAAGAAAATGGGTTATTTTATACCTATTTTTCATGTTCTATTGTGTATGTTATGTATAATTTATGAAATTCAACTATTCTATGAGCTAATAAATGAATTACGTCCAGTTGAAGCGATCAATGGCATATTCGAGTATTTGTGTTCAATGTGTACATACTCCTTTATTTTGATGGATTCATTATTTTACCGAAAAGAGCAAACACTTTTTTGGGAAATTGTTGGAAAAATGAGTGAGTCTCATCCACGTTTTCATTCTTATCGATCCTTTGAATTGAAAACAGTTTTGTATTTGTGTACGAATATTTTGTGGATTATAGTGATTTGCTCACGAGATTCAGATACAGACGCATACAAAATTGTAGTTTTTTAATTTTTCTTGATCACAATGTGTGAAATGAGAATACTTTATTATATGTTTTGCGTGGAAGTGATGTACAATCAGTTGAAAATTGTCGAAGATGAATTCAATGTAAATAAAAGACAAACCGTTTCATCGATACAACCATCGCAGCGATTTAAAAAGATCCGCGAGTGTCACAGTGGTGTTCATGAAATGAAAAATCATCTAAATAAAATATTTAATTTATCTCAATTATTGGTTATTTCATTTTGTTTTTACATTTTATTTACCAATTTAAATTGGCTTTACTCTCATTATAAAGAATTGAATTTGGTGTACATTTTGAGTAAGCTTTGACATAAAAAATTTTTACGCAGTTGTATATAAAATTAATTTTTTTCACAGTTGATTTTATTTGGATGGGTCTTTGTGTTCTATTGATATTTTTCTTATCTGAATGTGTAGCCAAATATTGTTTCATGACCAAAAACATTGCTTTTTATTCAAATAAAAGTAATTTTAATATTTTCAATGATATTTTGTTAAAAGAGGTACCTCACTACGTTTTTTCGTTTAAGAATTTTAATATACTCACGAGAAAAATATACTTTCAGGTTGAAAATACACAGTTACATATTATGCAGCATTCAATATTGTTAAATGCAAAAGGACTGTTCACAATTGATATCGGCAACATTATTAAAGTTAAATGTTATTTTCAATAAAATAATAAAGATTTCGTTAATGTTGTTTCTATCATTTTAGTTTGCTGGTGCCATCATCACTTACATATTCATTTACATCCAATTTAATTATTAATTAATAACAATAAATTCCATTGTATATCCCAAAAGAATCAATAATCTTTTTGATATTTTTTTACAGAATATTTAAGCCACACTTACAGTCTACCATTTTTATTATCTAAATAAAATCAGAAGGGAACTATCGTACCGAAATTATGCCCAAACTGTCACACTGCTAGCGCCACGACGGATTACAATGTAATCTACACTAAGTTGCCGCCAAATAGTGAAAAGACTTTTGCTCAGTTGCATCCAACGGACTAGAGCTCCATAGTTGTCCGTAGTGGCGCTAGCAGTGCTAGAGTTTTGCATTTTATACAGTCTCTTATGGGGCATAATTTCGGTGTGGGAACTATGCTTACTTGTTTTATTTTAAAATATGAGTGGTTTTTTATCGTACATCAAAAATTACACTGAAAAACGTAACTACAGTATATAAATCGACATTTTCTTCATAGCGTAAAAGGTTTCATTTTAGATTTTCATTGATTATATCAAAAATTGGGATGATTATGCTGATATCCATCGTTCCAAGCTTTATCTAGAGTCGGCCTGAAATTGAAATAAGATTTGAAATAAATTTCAAGTAAAACATATTGAACGCTATGATAAACAGTTTCAAATTCTCCCTTCTTAATATGGTGTTATTTTTCTAAAAAAAATATTGCACTTATCAATAACAAATTAAAATTATGATGAGCCAATTCATTCATCATTTTAATGATTCAATAATTCCACTGACTGGTGAGTTGTTTGTTCGTAGTGTAAAAAAACCCGGTAATATGATGACTACTGTCCGTTCCTAAATCTACGACAACGCCATCTCTTATTCTCCATCTGTTGCGAGTTTTTTAACCAACCAATATTGATTGGTTCAAATTAAATAGTTTAATATACATTCAAAAAGGGTTCAAGTCTAATCCCGACTATTTGAAAAATCCTCAGGTAAAATATTAAAACAAAACTTGAAACAATTTTTCTGAATTCATTTTTTAATTGTTGTCGATTTCATGGAGTAAAACATATAGAAACAATATAAACAGACAAACATCACACTTCATAACAGAGGAACGAAACATGCTGTGTATGAAAATACTAATACATTTGGACATACTCAGCTTCGTTTCTGTGATGACCACTTTAAGCGTACATGTGATGCTTGTGTATGTATTGTTTCTTTAACCCTAGCCCAAATGACGCATTTTTAAAAAATTACATGAAAAATTCTAAAACACGCTTAAACTATCGTTAATGGTATTTATCTAATGCCAAAACTTTATATTTATTGTTGGCATTCTCTGTGTTAACATTTTTATGGAGGGTCCAATTTTTTTTCGCCTTCGGACTGGCCGGTTAGAGGGTTAATCTCCACAGTGTACTGTCAATTTCTCTCTCTCTCTTTTTTTAAATACTGTCTCAAAAGTATCTAGATAGATTTCAAATATCTGAACCAAACACTGGCCGCACTGAACACATTTGCGTTTATATTATGAATGAGCGCAACACAAACGGCGGATATGGGAAACGCGTATTCGATATCTACTATATCAACTACAGTGAACAACATAGTAGCGGTAACGTTTTTACGCAATGATGCGATTTTAAAGTTCCGATAAAACCTTATTTTGGCAATTATTAGTGTATCAATTCGCATTAGCGCAATGATTGACGTACTATGTAGGAGTGTCTCTCAATTTGAATCGAGATTCAAACAGGTGGTTGTTTCACTGTTCGTTATTCATTATTGTGTGTGTTATATCAATATGTAAATGATGGAAATTTTCACATTGTACAAATTGATATAATTTGCATTTGGTACCTTAAATATTAAAAGATTATCGATGTGGACTCACAGTCTAGAAAGCGCGTTTTATACAGAAACATTTTATTGTCGCATATTGGATTGCTCTCCTTCTTCACATGTGGAAAGAAATCATTATGTTGAAGGGAAATCCGAAATTAATTCAAATTAGATGTTTCTGAATCAAAGTTGCCATGGTTGCTACGTATTGAGTGGGGCAGATTCCATCAGAACAGATCTCCAGGTACAGCTTGACCCCTTATATTATATTAATAACATATTTAATAAAATAATGGAATCTTTGCAAATATGCTATTAACATATTTTCAAACATAATATTTGTTCCTATTTTTCTCCACACTGGCAATGCAATTTATTTGGCTCAATACTAGAAATACTAGCAGAATATTTGCGTTTTTGTTTATATAAGAAGAAAGAAAAGAAACTAAGAGAAACTCAATACATATTAAATGAAACTAAATATACTAGAAATTGGTGTCTATCCCCTAGGGTGAATGGGTGAAAGTGATTTTTTATAAAGTATATTATATTTTGTAACAAGACAATATTACTTACCTCAATATATGCGCCGCTGCAGATATGTACTTTTTTATACGCGAGAATGGAAACCACGAACAATTAAACAACGATTATATTTTTATAAAAATTTGATCACAAATAGTAATTGTAATAAAAATGATGTATATGATAACATTACGTTTGCTGTCTATTTTTAGAAATTTTCTGGTGTTCGTATACAAACAAAATAACAAGAATCAAGATTGCAACACAAATGCAAATTTTTTTAAAGCACGACATATTTTGATTTCCTGTATTTTCCACAATATGTTCGTTCGGTAATGTATCGTTAACGATTCTCACAAAAACTGGACGCTCGCCAATATGATGATTATATGTAGCCATTCCAATTACCAAACTCCAAATGAATGAAATGAACTGAGTCTACATTACTCTAAGGTGAATTTGCTCTTTAACAGTTGAATTATGGCATTTGAAAAAATGGAAAATATGATTGCGCGTGGTGTAAGAAATCATGGAATAAATTAAGGACAAACAAAACAGTATCGTTGTTGGAGAATAAATAAGCTCTTTCGTGATATCAATTGTTCAATTGTTTTTCGTCGTTTTTGGTGGAGAAAATACTCGAACAGAATTTATTTTCACATGATTAAATAACAATTAAAATAAGCAAAATTGATATTCTTCCCTTGTGGAAATATTTCGACTTCATAGCCGACTATAAATTGACTAATTTTGGACAAAAATGGCTGATATTTCAGCCAGCTAAGTATATGAAATTGACTTTTGTCAACTATGTTGACTATAATCACTTTCAGTTAACTCTGAAACATAACCGACTATATTCGATTTCAATCATCTATTGGTAATTTTAACCGAATAAAAGTGATTAAAATTGACTTAATTTATAGTCAGTCAGTCCCGTTAGACTCATTTTTAACCGTCTTTAATGTTTAGTCATTTCATTTAAAGTTTGAAGGAAATTTAAAAAGTACAGGTCGTCATTTCGTTCATATGTATTTCGCCCAAAATTTTTGCAATTATGATAAATTTGAAAAAGTTCCAGCATAAAATTGTGCGTTCTATGAAATACAACTCAACATTCCGGCTAACCTTCGATTAATTCAGATTAAATAAATAATAATCTAATATTCCTATAACAAAGAATAATCCCTGACTAAACCCACTAATTTTATTTTCTCGTAACCTTTTAAGTACACTGCATTAAATTTGGGATACAAAAAATGGTCTGGGATCTATATTTACTGTGCTTATTGTAGCAGCAAAAAATGAAGTGATATGTATGTACCATTTTCTCTCTCTTCATAATATCAGCTGATCAAAATTGATTACAATGTAAATTGTTAACAAACATGTGGCACATATCAATTTTTTATTGTTAGCTCGCGTATATGTAGTTATTAGTTACATTCATCTGGAGTTGTTATTAGTTAAATTTCCATAAAATGAATGACAATTATCACATTATTTGACGTATATTCAGTTAGAATGATGATGATGTCACAAACTCTCAAACTATGAGTACATGTATTAACAAAGTGCATCTATTGTCTCATGAATAAAAAATGTGACAATAGAAAAGTATAATGATTTATTATTTAGTCTTTACATCAATTCGTGCAATATTATTTGATAAAAACATATGATATGAGAGAAAACACATGTGAGATAGAATGTCAATAATGCGGAACCAATATGATACAGACAAAAAAGGTTTATATTTTTGCTGAAAGCGATTTTTTTACAGAAACACAATGGATTAGATTTGTAAAAAAGCACACGTTTCATTTAAGTGTTTGTAGAATTTTTCGTAGAAAAACGATAGGCAATTACGCAAGTAGTCGGTAAAAAGTGAGGTAGCTATGTGATGATAACCTCAGCATAACCAAACAACCTTGCAATAAAGAATTTTTCAATTCAGGTAAAAATGCGAACAATTTAGGAAATGAGGTTTACCTAATGAATAACACTTTTTTCAAAAGAAAACAATGGTCTGCTGAAAAACTGCAAACAAATTAAACATATAAGTTTCTTGTACGTATTCAAATTGATGATTCACAATGTGGGTCTTAAAGCCATAAACATAGAAAAAGATAAAGCAAGGCAAAATGATAAGTAAGAAAGCCGAGATCAAAGACACCAAAATGCTATAATATAGTTAGAACCAGCGTACAAAGTACGTCAAAATAAATTATCGCATATACGTCTACAAATATTTTGCGATGTATTCAAACTCATGTAGAGAATACAATAGTGGACGTATAATAAAAACGACAGTGTGAGAGAAACTGGAATAGACCGAAACAAAACGATATAACCAAGGCTATTTGTCAGTTGTGATCAAGCAACTGGTGAATTAAGTCGCTTTTCGTTTTGATTTACTTAAATTGTTTTTGATTTTGTGTTTGAATTGCGGTGCTTCGCATAAACAAACAAAATATCCACAACAAGCACTTATCATACATTTTTTGATATGTTTTTTCGTAAAAATTATTTAATTTTTTCGGTTGTTTCCGTTTGCATAATCTACAGTCATGCATTTGACATCGAAAAAGATTTAGTGTTTCGACTATATACACGCGAAGACCCGGTTATGTATTTTGCATTGAAAACCAGTGGAACACCAACAATTTCCGAAACACCGTTCAACCCAAATCGATTGACGCGTATATTTGTTCATGGATTTCGAAGTAAAGAAAAAGTGATTAAACGATACACAGAAGCCTATTTGGGAGTCGGTGACTATAACCTTATCGCTGTTGATTGGATTGAAGGAGCCTCTACTTTTAATTACTATTCGGCAAAAAATCGAGTTCGACCTGTAATTTGAATTTATTCGATATTAAATTGTTCAAGTTCCAAATGTCACGCTTGTTGATGCAAAACCTATTTTTGAATTTAGATTGCTGAGAGGTTGGCACAATTAATCGATCATCTTGTTGCACATGGAATGAAATTGCAAGATGTCACAATGATCGGGCACAGTTTGGGTAAGAGAAACATTTCTTCTTCGGTGGAACACAAAATATGAATATATATTTTTTTAAATGTCAAAGGTGCACATATCGCTGGTCGAGCTGCCAAGCAACTTAAGTCGGAGGGAAAAATAGCAAATATAATTGGCCTCGATCCAGCGTCTGTTGGATTCAATTTCTTCGAAAGAAATAAGAGATTATCCGACTCGGATGCTGACTACGTGCAAATAATTCACACTGACGGCGATAAATTCGGTTTCGCTAATCCGCTTGGCCATGGTATAAATGTTTTATCTTACAATTATTTTGTAATATAACGAAAGAAAGTTTTAATGAGAAAAATCCAATTTTCAGCCGATTTTTATCCAAATGGTGGAAAGCAACAGCCAGGCTGTCCATTAAGAAATCGTCTGACAAATCTTATCGGTAAGTTATATATTAGCGTCAGATTTTTTTCTCGCGGAACTTCCTCATATAATGTTGATTTTTGTTTGTTTCAGAAAAATGTTCACACGTTCGATCGCATCATTTGTTCTTGGAGAGTTTGACAAACAATTTTACTGCCATACAGTGTGTATCATACGAAGAAATTAAAGACAATCGATGCACATTCAACAATGTCGTAGCAGTTATGGGTGGTGACATTACACAAAACTCAACGAAGGCATACGGAATATTTTATTTAGAAACAAAATTCTCACCGCCATACATCATTCCAGACTACAGAAACTTCAATAACATTGAATTCATTACCTATCAACCACAATCGTAATGGGAAGAAAACGCCCGAGTTTAGACAATATTTAAAACACCAGAATTATGAAATTGACCTCATTTTACACGCTTGCATACAAATTCATATATGCTGAAATAATTGAAACGCATTTATTACTTTTCAAAATTCGACGGCACCAAATCATTTTATGGATTTTCACAAAGATTTTATTACATATCTCACATTCAATTGCTTTTGATTCAATACATTCTTCTTACATAACAGATGAAAATAGGCAAAAAGTGCATAAACGCTAATGAACTACGTTTCGTGTGGAAATCTTGCGTGTTGTGTTTGTTTATAATGATTTTGATGCAAGATACCCCCCTCCAATATACATGCCGAACTTAATCAACTGCATCCCATCGCTACATATTCACATGACGCGTTTATGCTTATTTAGGTTACATGTTATGTTGCATTCTTCTAGACGCATATGCGCACGCTGTTTTGGAAATGTCAACCATTTTTTTTATTAGTTCAATCAAATTGTACTACAATGTTTTAAAAGAAAAATTGTGAAATAATGGTTTTAAATTTAAAAAAAAATTCGATTAAATTTTGAGGAAGTGACACATAACAAAACCTATAAAAACTGAATTAATGCTTTTTTTTGTGTGTAAAAAAAACAGTTTATATAAAAAAGTGTTTCTTTCAATGGTGAAGAACGGGCTAGGAACACAAAACGTTTTATCTGTAAGCAGAGATAACAGCAAAATATAATAAATGCATCAATTAGAGTGTGTAACATGTCGGTGTGATAATATGCTATACTTTTGTGCTCATAAATATTGACTGAAAAAATATTTTGTGAATATCCTGGAAATGTGTACGTTTTATTTTGATTATGAAATATATATGATCTGATGCTACTATAGAAAACCGTCTTTGTTAAATATTATATGCGTGCCCGTTTGTATGTTCAAAATATTGTGGTCTATTGGTGAATACTATTTCCTCCCGGGAAACTAGTTTGACTTTTTTTTTAAATTTGTTTGATTAGATTAAATAACGTCTATATATACAAACAATAAATAATCTAAAAACTACGCTGCATTCAGACGTCTCGTTATTAGTTTTTGCTTATCTCTGACTAAAAAGAGCATCATAAGAGATAACGTGAGGAAGTCCGTTAAAAAACTTCAAGATCTCAGTCACGCTAGTCTAGTTGAAAAAACAACTTTAATATCGTTTTGTTTCTCCCGCCCAAAATGCATGCAAGTGCAACAACGACAGTTCATTCTCTGATCATTTGTCTATGTTTTTTTGTATTCATTGTGTCCAAATGTAATGCATTCGATGCAAACGAAGATGTAATATTTAAATTGTACAAACGTGATAGTCCGACAAAATTCACCGTTTTACGAATAAATAGTGATCATTCAATTTCGAATGATACATTATTTGATCCGGAACTCCCAACTCGTATTCATATCCATGGATTCTTGGCCAAAGAGGAAATTATCGATCGCTATCGCGAAGTCTATCTAAGCGTTGGTGATTACAATTTCATTGTGGTTGACTGGATGGAGGGTGCTTTTACGCTCAACTATTTTATGGCAAAGGCACGAGTGAAAGATGTAATCAATTTGATCGTACAGTAATTTAAGTTTCAAAATAATATGATAGTTATACTTTTTCAAAGGTGTCCGAGAAATTGGCTGAATTAATTGAAGCCCTAGTTGATTTTGGAATGGATTTAAAAGATTTAACACTTATTGGACATAGCTTGGGTAAGTAAGACAAAGAAAAAATGATTTTTTACTAATTATTTACTCAATTTTTAACATTCATTCAAAGGTGCCCATGTAGCAGGAATAGCTGCAAAAACAATGAACTCAACTGAGAAAATCGGCATTATAATTGGGCTGGATCCAGCATCAGTTGGTTTTAATTTTGCCGAAAAGGATAAGCGATTGTCTGAAACGGATGCGGACTATGTACAGATCATACATACCGATATAACGAAATTCGGAATGGGCAAACCCATGGGACACGGTAACATATATAATTTTACATTTCTTTGAATTCAATACTAACAATTTACACAATGAAATTGGGTAAATATATTTTTATTGAAATAAATTCATATGTTACAGCTGATATATACCCGAACAGTGGCAAACTTCAACCGGGCTGTAAGAAACGCAACATAATAACCACGCTGTTTGGTAAGTAGTGGCTATTGTATACAATTTCAAATCAATGAGAATACAAAACGTTTGTTATTTCCATAAATTAAACGTTAAATTGGTGTTTTGATTACAGATAAGTGTTCACATCATCGTTCACACGAACTATTTTGGGAAACGTTGAAAACGAATTTCACAGCAATCAAATGTGCGTCGTTCGAAGAGATTATGCAAAATCGATGCACATTCAACAACGTCACAACGATTATGGGCGGCGACGACATCATATCAAACATCACAGAAAGACCAAATGGCATTTTTTATTTAGAAACACATAACAGTTCACCATTCGTAATAACTGATTACAAATTATTCAAAAACATTCAGATCACTTATGAGGAAAATCATTATAATCAAACATTGATTTGAAAATTTAAGTTTTTTTAGTGACTTCGAACTCGAATTATTTCATTATTTTATATTTAAAAATGCATTTTAACGAATTGTTTTTGAAAAAAGGTAAATAAATATTTTCTTCTTATAAAAAAGTAGATCAAACAATATTTGTCAAAAAAATTCTTTTATATTTTTATTGTTGTTTGGATGAAAGATTGGAAGATTTTATGAAATCACCTAATTACTTCCCATTATTTAATAATTAATGATGGAAATCAACCACTATTACTACTGACTTTTGATGACTAATTAGAAGATATAATCTCATTTGAAATCTGAAATCGCTACTATAAATATGTAAAATTTTCACTGCAATGATGATGAGTGTAGCTATAAAAGAGCATTGTTAATCAAGACTGCATTTCAGAAGAAACTGTTACTGACTTGAATCCACCGCCATATTTTGAATGGAATAAGCATGGACATTTTTGCTAAATTATTTGTCATTTTAAGCCCGCTTAAGTTGTGCTTGCGTATGTTCCCGATATTTTCAAGTATATCTTTAATGGATACTCATTTTTCTTTGTTGTTTATAGCGTGGATATAAGATACGTATAGTGAGGTTAGAAAGTTGTGATGATTCAGAGCATGTTGTGAAAGCCGATACAAATTTAACGTTGTCATTCTCTGATAATTGTGAAGTTGGTATCATTGGATGCGCCAGCACTACTGGTTTCAATACAGCGGAGGTAAGTTCATATAGACTACAGGCTGTTGATGCTAGTTGATGCATTTACTATTGAAACTTTATTTATCTGGCAGGTAGAGTTCAAAATTTACAAAAATGAAAATCCAATCACCACCGGTTCATTTGATTTATGCGAAGAAATGAAGAAATTTCAGGAAGGAGTGCAGAGTAAAGCTTTGAAAGCATTTAATTTGGAACAATGTCCCATTAAAGCAGTTAATTTTAATTCAATATTTTTCAGTAGTTTTCATAATTAATAACTTAAAACTCATTTATAGATGCGTTCATGTTCGGATAGAACTAAAACAATAAACATTTCAAAATACAAAGGTATATTACCGCTTGCGGTTGGAAATATTGACTTGATTCTAAATGCATCTCATGATACTGTAAGTTCTTTTCTGTTGTTGGAATTAGGCTTGTTAGATTTTGGTCGACTCCGGGGAATTTTTCGTCAAATGTCATAATTTTTGTTGATTTTCACTCAGATTTTATTTTCAAATTGTATTGTGTCTAAATTGTGGCATTTAAATTTTAATATTATGGCAATGGAGAAAAAAGAGGACAAAAATCCGACAAGCCTAGCTGAAATCGCAATACTTTTAAAAATCATTCACAAATTCTTTCACATGATCTTTTTTGTTTTCAAAGGGAAAATCTTGTATTCATGCTTTCTTTACAATTAGAAGACAATAGTATCTGGAAATTTCCAACTACATTACACGTTTGAAGAAGTTAATGCAAAAGTTCTTTTGTTTGATATTTTTATGCTTTGGAAATAAAATGTATTAATGAATAAAACACTTTGAAAGATCTAACTCTCTAAGTCTATATATAAATCAAAAATTGAACAAAGAAACATTTTTTAAAACGAAAATGGTGATATGAATTGGAAGTATTTGAAATTATAAACTGGCATCAAGTTCTCTCTTCATCTGAACATTTTGGATTCAAAGTTGTCCACATTCTAAAATTGTATTTCGAAGAGTCTTCGAATTGAAGACGAAATTTTTCTTTCAGTTTTTGAATGAAAATAACACATAATTATAATTGAACTTTTTTCCTATAGAAAAACGATAAGTAACACACACCAAACTCTGACAAAACCTATATATTGAGTGTAATTCGTACGAAAAAGTTGATCCCCTGCGATTCTGTATCAATTGGTTTGAAAAAAAAAAATGCAAAGAAAAGATACAATTTAAAATTGAAGATTCGTATGATGTTCCAGATCGAAATGCTAACCTTTTTTTACAGAGAATTTACAAAAATGTGAATTTCCCAGTATTATTATTAATAATTTATTAATGATGGATTTGATAATAAAAGAACTAATAAATTTTTTTAGAAACTGGAAAAATTGTGAGTTCACGCAAGCACGATGATTATGATTAGTTAATAATGGCAATTATGCAATATAACGTTGCTGATTTTTATTGACTTTTTTACAATTTCATCTAAATCCCCTCTATGTAGTAAATTGATGCTATAAAAGAGCTAAGTTTTGCCAGAATTCAAGTAAAATTTTGTAACAACTATCAGAATTGATACAATGAGTCTTGCCGTTAAGCTATATGTTTTCTTGTTGATAGCTATCGATATCGGCTTATGCTCTGCTTGCGTATGTTTGCCTATGTTTGTTATTTTGAGTTATATTTTAATAAAATGATCTTTGTTTGGTTACAGAATGGACATAAGATCCGTGTAGTGAGGATAGAAAATTGTGGTAATTCCGAACAAGTCATGAAAGTCGATACGAATTTTACAATATCATTAACTAGAGAATGTGAAATTGTCATAAAGGGTTGCGGTGAAACAACTGGTTTCCGGACGGCCAAGGTAAGGTTCTCATGTTGACTTCTGACACCGCGATACATACATTTATTGATACTATTCGAACAGGCAAAGTACACACTTTACAGAAACAGTAATCGCATAATTAGTGGAACATACGATGTATGCGACACATTCAATTCAAAAGGAATGGAAAATGATATTTTGAGGTCATTTAATATGTCGGCATCATGTCCCATTAAAAAGGTCAGTTGAAAACATTATTAACTCTTCATTAACTACTAATATCCTAAAACTCATTTTAGATGCGCACATGCTCAGACGGAACTCAAACAATAAACGTTGCAAAATATAAACCCATTTGGCCATATGCAATTGGGAACCTCGACGTGAATATTAGAATAAATCATGATTCTGTATGTCATTTTTGAAGCTGTAAATATTTTGAAAATTATTTCTATCTAACACGAATTTTCTTTTGATTTTAAAGGGAAATAGTTGTATGCATTATACAGCTATAGTTAGCAAAGAGTAGCGTATAGCAACTGTACAAAACAGCGCTGAAAAACTAAATAAGCAGAGTTTAAATTAGAAATTGACGTTGACAAACATTTTGATTTCAGACTCTTTTGGAAAGAGTATTTCAGAGTGACGTTATCAACAAACAACAAATCGTTTAATTAGTAATGGATTTTTTTGTTTTACACAAATTTCCTGTTATTTTCATGTAATGATAGCGAAATAAAATTTATTATATCTAATGAATGCAATTAAAAGACTCTCTAATTGGATACGGTTTTTTGACCGAAGTTCTCCTGTCGTAATCAATTTTCATCAGAGTAGATGCCAATCTTTTTGATTGGCGGAAGGACCCATTCTCTTGCTGATGGGCACATGAATGTTTTAATTCTGAATACTTATAGGTTTTCTTTTACAACAACAAAACTGTTTAAAATCTTAAATCTTAGTTTTTTTTTTTTAATTTTATAATTAAGCAAGCCGGTAGCCGGAAGAATCACTGACTTTGTTGAAAAAAAGCAATAAAAATTGAAACATAAAAGTGATAACGTTAATTGGGAATAAATTCCATTTTCCGCATGCGACGATAGTCAGAGAATAGAGGATTACGCCATTATTTCCAATTATTCAATAAAAGGTGCCAATAAATATTGTTTCCATATTTTGTAAAAAGATACTTATCAACAAATTAATTTTATCTCTACGAAAACAGTAAATCAATCTAATCAACGTGCAACACAATTTGTCGAATTCCAATAAAAGGCCATTTTCAGCGAGAATAACATTCAGAAATTATTTATCCAACACATTGAATTGAATACATTGTGATACCAGTGATCGAATAATCCGTAAATATGGTAAAACAGTTGCTGGTTTGCTTCTTAGTGGCTATTGCAGTCGATTTTAGTAGTGCTTGCGTAAGTGATCGTAATCTAATATGTGCCTTTTCAATGCTCACCTTTTGATGGTTACAGAATGGATATAAGATGCGTTTGGTAAAGTTAGAAAATTGCGCAGGACCTGATCAGGTAATAAAATTTGATACCAAAGCCACACTGTCACTGACTAAAAAATGTGACATTATTTTGACCGGATGTGGTGGGACAACTGGCTTCAAAACGGCCAAGGTAAGGTTCTCATGTTGAATAAAAAGAATCATTTGGAATAATGGCTCATTTTTTCGTACAGTTTTCTTATAATATTATTAAAAATGGAAATCCACTACTTTCTGGATCAGTGGATGCATGTGAAGAGTTGAAAAAAGATACCAAAGGTTTTGCTACCATTTTGAAATCGTTTGATATCCCATCAGAGTGTCCGGTTGAAAAGGTTCAAATTATATATTTTCGTTTTGTTTACACTTATGGATTATATCCAAATATCACTTTTTAGATGGAAACATGTATTGATGAAACTAAAAAGATGAATATCGATGAATACAAAAGGTTTGTATATATGTAAAATGTATTCTATTCGAATCGAATCCCTTTAAGGGGAAACGTTGAGAACACTCGATGAAAGTTGCATTATTATTTTTTATATTTTATTTATTATATTTTTTTTAGTTTTCTTGGACTCATGAATGGTGATATTGAAGTTCAACTCAATGGGACGCATGATACTGTAATTACTAATTAGTTTCAACTTAAAAATCAATTGTTTTTTGGAATATCGTTTAAAAATTGCTTATTGAACTTTCTTCCAATATTTTTAGGGCAAAACTTGCTTAAAGTATGTAGTTCATGTTAGTAGACATTAATATCCGCTGATAACTTTCAACCAAGTAAGACATTTTTTCAACGATGAAATTTTATAAAACGCATACAAAGTCATATCTATCTAATTCAATTTTTTTTTGAGGGATTCTGTTTAGCGTGATGGTTTGATTAATTGTCGTAACTGGTCGTTGACATCTTCAAAAATAGAATAATTCAGTGTGCCGTTTGTTATTGCACAAGTTAATTTTTCGTTTGTATTATTTTCTTTTTTAAGCCAATTCATGTTTTTGATCTTTTATCTTGCACTTTGAAAATAAATTTGATTATACACGTTCAATGAATATTGATGATTATAATTTATTCCTCATTCCAATTCTAAGGGAATTTTTATTCAGAGAGTACGCATTTTATAGTTAACGTCATAAAAGAATAGTCATTGCTTCCAACAAAACAATATCGCAAAGAAAAATAAAAAAATGAGTATAAGTGGAAAATCTCGTTTAATTTGGAAAGTTTTTTCGATTAATTTTCTTCTATTTGGAAATCAAATGGTAAGGTCCAAGCTGAGTTGAATACGCAATTTCATCACATATGGAATAATATAGTTCTTCTTACCAGCAGATAATTAGGAATAAATTTCATTTTCCGCATTCGATGATAATCAGAGAATAAAAAATGCATTTGCTCATCCGACCTAATTTTCTAATTATTTCGTTAAGGATGCCAATAAATATATTTTTTTAAAAGAGACCAAATAGATGCCACTAAAAGGTGGTGTCATTGAAATAAAAAAATTAAATAAATTCGAATATAAGGTCATTTTTAATGAAAATTACATCCAGAAAGTATTTATACAACATCCTGAACAGAACACATCTTCATACCATTATCAAATAAATTCTGGATATGTCGAAAAAGCTGTTCGTTTGTTTTCTAGTAACTTTACAATGCATTTTTGCAGTGCATGTGTATGTTTTCACATATTTGAACGTATTCGAATGTGATCTATTGGTGTGTGCATTTTTATTACATGTCTTTTCGCTGGTTACAGAATGGATACCACCTTCGTTTGATCAAACTGAAAAGCTGCAATGGAGACAATCAAGTGATCAAGTTTGACCCCAACGTCACGATGTCGTTGTCAAACAATTGTGAACTTGTCATTTCAGGATGTGCTGAAACGACTGGATTTAAAACAGCTATAGCAAGTTCAATCCAAATGAAAAGAATTTTATTAAAATTTAATAGTAACGGGTTGCGTTTGTGTATAGGTTTCGTACGCTCCAATTGAAAATGGGAATACGCTTAATCTTTAAAATACCACTGACCATTTTAGAAACGCTTAACTTTCCTAAAGAGTGTCCCGTCGAAAACGTAACTTATTTACGATTGAGTTATATTTATTCAAATATATTATACTCATTATCCATTTACAGATGCGTCAGTGTTTCGACGAAAATCGAAAATCGAGAATCGAGTCTTAGAAAGTTCAAAAGCTTTCTTGAATTCTTAGTGGGAAATATAGAACTTAGAATCAATACAACGCATGACACCATAAACCATTTCAACAATTTCTTAAAATCTTATACAAATTCTAAGGAAATGAACGCTTTTATATTCTTCACGGGGCATCACATGCATGAACCTAGAATTCAACAATAACAGAAAATAATATCGACAAGTGAACTAAAAAAAACTGTTGAGTTGGACATTTCTCAAAGAGCACAAAAACACACCTAATTTCCAACAAAATTATTAATTTAAAAAAAATGTGTTGTTTTGTCGAAACCTATTCGAGAAAAAAATTAAATAAAAATTATAGCACTTATTTGATAACAGACATTTGATGACTAAGCTAGACATTTTAACTTAGAATTAATTTACCATGGAATGAATGTATACAGAATGGAAGTTGTGTTGGGTCTATTGAATTACAATCAAGCGTTCAGGATCGCATACATTTATGCGATACATTGAATGATGCATGCATCGTTTGATGCGAATCAAATAACGCAAACACAACGCTAACGATGTCGCTGTGTGTACGGACCTGACAGCGCACGACGTGCTTATATGATACACGTAATGATGTGAATGTTCAATAAAGCAAGACCGTCGTGTGCTACTAGATCCGCACGTACAACGTTAGCGTTATTTGATGCGCATGAAATGATGCATGCATCATTCAATGTATCGCATAAATGTATGCGATCCTGAACGCTTGATTACAATTAAAAACATTTGTAAATTGCCAGAAATTAGGCAACAGTAAAAATCGAGAGGTTCTGATAAATTTGATTTTTTAATCGTGGATCAGATCTGAGAAGAATTTAGTATAGAAACTCAAAATGTTTTATGGATATGTAATCTCTTTTGTGATTGATAGTCTCCATATTAGATATGTATCAGATGTTTGCTTTTTTCGCCAAAAACCCTAGCAAATCGATTTTTTTCCAATTTTTCCATTTTAATAAGGAGTTTTTGATTCCACTCGAATCAAAATTGATTACGGAGGGTCAAATTTGGATCAAATTTGAAGATTTTTCAATTCCTAAAAAATACTAGCAAATCGAAATTGGATGAATTACAATTTAATTTAAAATATGTATTTTGGACATGTAGCTATGATTGCACTCAAGATAAATATGCTCCATATAGCCCTTGATTTAATATAATCATGTAAAATATTACAATGAATGACATCCATCCAAAAGCTGTTGTCAATGATCTAGATCTCAAGATACAATCGATATGATATTTAACGGATATTGCTCTCTTGAATAAAATATTGATTACACAGCTGACAACTGTTTTTGCATTTCATTTCCAGATAAAAATTCACGGTTGATAAGTACCATCATCGATAAATGTTGTAAGTTCTTCCTGGTTCTTGTCTGGAAAATGCAACCAAATATCAATGGAATTTTTGGTATTCGGTGAAAATGTTAATTGAAAACAAACGTGATTTTTTCGTGAAACTGCGTCATCCGGCAACTCTAGTTTTTTAACAAATAATTTTGTTGTTTCGATCATAGAGAATTCATGAGGTCACGCCATCATTATTCATTATTTAATTTAGGATAGACAGGCATATTTAGAAGATATATCAATATCGTGTACACCACGAAACCAGATAAGTTTTAATGAATGGATAGCAAGGTATAATCAAAGCCAAAATCAGAAAATCAAGTTCATGTTTGATGATAAGTCAATGTTATCAACATGCAATGCATTTCGATTCGATGCAATAAAAAGACCGGCACCGGAGAGAATGCTATTCAGAAGGTCTTGCTGCTAGTGACCTGAGAAGTTTGAATACATTTCGACACCTCCAATTGAATTAACTATGGAACTTTTCAAAAAAATATTCGTTTTCTTGTTGATTACTGTTACCATCGATTACAGTAGTGCTTGTGTGAGCTATTCATGTTGAAGTGTGACATTCGAATGTTGTGTAGTTTTAATAAAATTATCTTATGTTCGGTTACAGAATGGATACAAGATGACTATGATAAAACTTGAGAATACCGCTGGTGATGATGCGGTTTTAAAAATAGACCCAGATACAACGGTGTCAATGACCAAAGATTGTGAAATTGTGGTGAAAGGATGTGCAGAAACGAAAGATTTTAATACAGCTACGGTGAGTTCATATTTTATAAAGATTTTTGATTTTGAGATATTGATTTTTTGTTTCAAATTTCATTCAGGTAAAATACACTATTCTGAAGAATGGAAATCGGATCACAAGCGGAAGCACTGATGTATGCGAAGAATTGAAAAAAGATACGAAAGGAATAGCAACTGGTTTGATGTCATTTGGACTGCCAAAAAGTTGTCCAATCAAAAAAGTAATTTGTACCAACGATTCCTCTTTGCCTAGATGCTTTTTTGATATATGCTTTGCATAAAAAAGTCAGCATAAAGATATCTGCATACGGTCACACAGCGATGACGCTTTGTTGTTTCCATACACTGCAGCGTGCGAAAGAACAGATATTTTTATGCAAAGAAATATCTAGGAAAAGATGAATCGTTTCTTTACACACATTCATTTTTGCATCTACCTAATATTAACTAAAACTCATGTAAATCGTGCAGATGAAACAATGTGCTGATGGAAGCCAAAAAATCAGCATTGCATCTCACAAAAATTTACTGCCGCTCGCAGCGGGAACTATTGATATGACCATAGACGTAACTCATGACACTGTAAGCCAAGTTTCCACTGAAAAAGTTCTACAATTCCAAACGAATTAAAAATAAACATTTTTTTTTTCATTTTATAGGGAAAAAGTGGTATGAAATGTACTTTGAAAATTAGCCGTTAGAACAAAAACATATATTGCAGTGTGACATTTATCAGTGGATAAAAAAATTCAACTACTTTCTATATTTTTCCTGTAATGCACTTTGAAAATAAATTTGATTGTACACGTCTAATGAAAATGAATGATAATAGTTTATTGCCTTATCAATAGCAACAAAGAAAATTTCTATTTGATTAGTTTTTGATCAATGTGATGATGATAATTTGACGTTTTCTACGTAATTATTCGATATTTGCAATTAAAATGAGTAAACTTTGGCATGATAGATTTAATCCCAATACACAGTAAAATTTGCTGTTTTTTTACTCATCGCTTTTGTGTGGTTGTATCAAAGCTAAATGATGGTTGATTTCAATCAAAGTTAAATGGATTACAATATTTAAATTGAGGTCAACAATATGCTAAATTCTATAATCCCCGATCTAAAGTACAAAATTCCCAACTTCGATTTGTAATTTTGATTTTTTTAAACGCATTTATTTTACGGATTAGTTATTTTACGTGAATATTCTTCAGAAGCCCATTATCGTTTGTATCGGCGAAAGTCCAAAGTCTAACTTCGCATCAAGTGTTTAAATCAATTGAGAATGTTTTATGAAAATTAACCGTGCAATGTTAGACTATTTACCAGATTACCATCTAAATAATATTACATAATTTCGAAACAATTGTGCGACCTTATGTTCAAATTGAGGAAATCATTTATCAGTTTGCAGATCTCGACCACTCAACCGTATAATGGTTTTGAAGTGGTATATATAAGGGGACGCATTTTTTGGTTCCAACATCAGCATCAATTTGGTCATAAACGGTATAGTTTCAGTTAAACACATAGATCCATAGACGATTCCATTTACATAAAAAAAGTGAACCGAGAAAATATGTATCGTTTAAAAGTTTCACTGGTTTTCGTATTTTGGGCACTTCTAAACTTATATGTGGACCATTGTACAGCTTGTGTAAGTTTATCTTATTCGAATTCTATAAAGAAGTTTATTTCATTGCTGTAATTATTCGAAAATAATAAAGGTTTTTGTTCATTTTTATAGAATGGATACAAAATGAAGTTGATTTCAGTGACAAATTGTGGCGATGATAATGTGATCATAGTTGACAAAAATTTCACGGCTTCATTGAGTTCAGACTGTATTGTGACAACGGGCGGCTGTGTAACATCAAAAGGATTCAAAGAGGCAAAGGTATGATTTTTGTTTGAGGCTGAGAAAGTAAAAGTGAAATTTTCTTCGGTTTAAAATGAATTTTATATCGATATTCGTTACATTTATAGGTGAAGTACTCAATTTTGAAAAATGGCCAAGAAATGTTGAGGTAAGTGAGGTGTAATTCAAATGTTTAGATTCGAATCATAATCAATTTGAATTTTCAGTGGTCATCCCGATATTTGTGATGTTTTGGATCATAAAACGGCTGAACAAAAAGTCAAATTAGAAATGTTCGGTTTTCCGACAGAATGTCCAGTCCCTGAAGGTATTTTTTTTAGTTTTTTTTCTTATTATTTTGAATATAATGAATAAATTTGAAAAAAATGTTCGAACAAAGGTCGAAAATGCATGGATGGCACGAAAAAAGTCGATGTTTCTAAATACAAAAACATGTTGCCGATGGCAGTCGGAAAGATAACTTCACATTATGAGGTCACTCATGATTCGGTATGTAAATATAAAGAAAAGTATAATTTTCAGAGCTAATGTATTTAATTTTGTGCATATTTTCAGGGTACAACTTGCATTGAAATTAAGTTCGAAATCAACAAATAGGATGCTGATAATTATGACATTATATATTGGGCTTATTGGGATACATGAATTACGATTTTACTGTAAAAACTCTCTTTTTCTTTTTTCCTCTCATCATTTTGAATATGACAAATAAATTTAAAACATTCTTTGAAGCATGACATGAAACTCTCTTTTTCCGAATAATGACCGGAAGGACATTACTAAATGTTTTTATACCATTTTTATCGTTATGTAGAAATCAACGGATACATTGAGATAACAATAACAATTAAACAACTGACATTAAAATATAGCGCAATTTAGTAAAATGAGAAAAAATTGATCTGAAATGGCTTTTGACTGAAAAAAAGTGAACTGAATCACGTTGTGATCTATATCAGTGCCACTTCCGGGTTTATTCTTCAATAAAATAATCGGTTTTTTCTTTTGATAAACAACATTTTAATTAGTAATAAAAAGAAACATCAATTAATGTAAAAAAGAATGGCAAAAATTACAATTTTTCGATTTCGAATGTCCAAAGAAGAAGAGGAGGAGGAGGAAAAAATCATTGTTAAGGCTGTAACAACAGTTGGTTGTTTTGGTTAGTACTTTGCATTCTTTGCAATATTTTTTGATGATTTTTTCAAAGCCGTGAAATTTCCGAGATACTCCGAATGCCGTATGCCAAAACTAAAAGCAGGAAAAATAAAAAAAGTTACGCCCATTTGCCAAATAGTTTTCAAAGATGATTTCTGTTGAGAGAAATCTTGCACTTCAAACATGACACGTACCTAAAAGCAGGAACATGGGAAAGATTCACCTGTTTTGAGAAAAAATCAAAGAGGAAAACCATTAGATCCGATTTTTTTTTAATACGATTTCGATTAGTATTGTTATTGCGACCTTTTCCGGAAAAAAAGAACCAGGTCCTGGACCTCCGTTTTTTGAAGTTTTTGATATTCTTTGCCCTGATATATGAAAAATGTGTTAGAAAACGTACTCTATGCAATGCGAATAAATTTCATCGTTTCCGCTATTCTGAGATAATTTATATAGAAAATTAGAGCCAAAAAAGTACCCATTGAAAATTGTGGTGATTTATGCATAACGACTTCTGCAACAGGATCATAGCTCCCTGGCCCTGGGAAACGGATATGTTGCGGTTGAATTGTTTTTTGTCTACCTATTAAACTAGTATATTACATGCATTGTTATTATTTTAGTCGTTTTACAGCTTTAATTACTATTGTATAAAAAATTACGTGTATGCAGGCGCTGATCGTATATGTGCTTCTTTGCTAGACCCTAAAACTGTCGGTATGGTATATTCATTCGGAGCTTGATGGGAGATTTTTTTTTATTTTGTTAGTAAATAGAATTAGGCGCGTTTTTTCGAATAAAAAATAGGATCTCTTTCTCTAACTAAATATCATTTCCGTGGTGTTATGAGAAGTTTACCTGTGAAAATAATATACTCACAAATTTGTGTACTGTGATGAAATAGATGTATTGTGAAAAAAATAGCAAAGCATTGTGAAATCGCATTAAATTTATGCGATAATTGGGCGGCCACTAAATGTACGAAAAAAAAATGCAAATAAATATCCAAAAAAGCAATGAGAAAAATGTTTGTTTTTTTTGTACGATTTATACGTACTTTATCCAGCCTTTTGGTTGGATTATGACTGGCTTGGAATAAACATAAGTTGGCACATGATCTAGTGTGACTTTCTCTGGCGCGTACGCACAAGGCGCTAAAAACATGAAAATAAATGCATAGAATTTTGTGGAATGGGACAAATACAAGTGAATTATGATATGTATTTTTTATTCGGAAATAAGAGCGTTACCTGGCGTATCTGAATGTCGTTCCTTTAACACTTTCAATCCAAATGAAAATGCTGGCGAATATTTCAAATGAACGGCGGCCTTTTCCGGAGAATATGCTGATGGAGCTAAAGATGGAACAATGAGTTTATAAAAATCGGAGACTAATCACCCATTTATTCTTACCAGGTGTGTCACTTCTGATTTTCTGTTCTGGACGTGATCCAAAGCTGTAGGCAGTTTGATGGTCAAGATTGCACTTTTCAGGTTGGTAATGGTTTGGCGCAGGGGAATCGCTCTTAATTTTCTGTTCTGGACGTGATCCAAAGCTGTATGCAGCTTGATGGTCAAGATTACACTTTTCAGGTTGATAATGATTTGGCGCAGGAGAATCGCTCTTGATTTTTTGTTCTGGACGCAATCCAAAACTGTAGGCAGCGTGATGATCGATATTGCACTTCTCAGGCGAATATGCTGATGGAGCTAAAATATTTATGATTGATATTAAAATCCAACGTTTACTCTAACAATAAGAAATTCAATTACCCGGTGTTTGGCTCAATTTTTCTGGCTTTGGTCGTCCCGAGATCGAAAATGCCGGTTGATAATCAAGAAGTTTTATCGATTTCTCTGGATCATACTAAAATAAAGATGGACACAAATAATGATTACGTCCTGGGTTCATTTTAATTAAAAAAAATCAATTTTAGAAAAAAAGTATAAACCTGATTTGGGGCTGGTGCCGTGCTTTCAATTTTTTGTTGTGGCTTTATTCCAAAACTAAATCCATTTGAATCTTTCAATTGAGTAAACTTCTCAGGTGAATATGCACACGGAGCGGGTGTTAAGTCTGGTTTTTCAACTTTTCTTCTTCCTCGCATTGTGAACGATGGCGTACGGCTGAAATTATATTTTTCGGCAGCGTAGTGATTGGGAGCGGGAGTGTCACTTCTCACTTTTTGTTCTGGCCGTAAGCCAAAACTGTAGGCAGCTTGATGGTCAAGATTGCACTTCTCGGGTTGATAATGATTAGGAGCTGGTGAATCGCTCTTTATTTTCTTTTCTGGACGGGATCCGAAACTAAACGCAGCCGGCTGGTTTAAATTATGTTTCTCCGGTGAATAAGATCCAGGAGCTTAAGTTTGGTAACAATAGATTATTACATCATTGAAAAACTATTAATGTAACTGAATTATTGAATTGCCAATTACAATCAGTTGAAAGAAGAGATTTACCTGGTGTTTGATTCAATTTCTCATTATTATGCCTTCCGGCCATGGAGAAGGCCGGTTGATAATCCTGTTTATATTTCTCGGGCTCGTAAGATCCCGGTCCTATTTGTAGTTTAAGTTTTTAAGAAATTAGCAACTTATTTGATTAAATAAAAAAATTGAATTTGAAAGACCTGGTGTCGTGGATAAACGCTCAAGAACATTTCGATAACCCAAAGTATAAACTGGCTTCTTGGACGCTGAAAAAAATATTGAATGCCATTTAATGATGATAGTAAGAAAAATTGATATGAAATCATTTAAAATGACTAATTCCGATGTCAAAACATTATTTCGTCACCAAAAACCTGTCCCAAAAAAAAAGTCTAAGAGAATGTTACCCATTAATATTCACGCTTTCCTTCACAAATCAATACAATCCCCATCAATTGTTGCAAGTTGTATTTTTTTATGTAACCGCTCCTTCTATGCTTTGCTATAACGACAAAACTTGTTCGTAGAATGAATTGAGAGAATAGCATTCAATCTACAAAATCTCTTTTGGAATAAAATCGAATTCATGGCAATAATACCTACAATAAAGCTACTTCAATCGTGTTTACAAAAAGAATATTGCCTAAAATGCTCAATAATTATGCAATCATACGAAAAAAAGAAATACGAATCAAAAATTCATGTAGATCTACACAAAAGGTGAAAGAGATAGAGTGATTCGCAATTGTTCACTTCAAGTTGTGATTGAATTCAAATCATTATAAAAAATTGTGAGATTCAGCTCGAGAAAGAGATCCGATTTCCTTTGGGTTGAATATGTTACCTGGTTGGCGCGTTGGGTGATGATTTGGATTTGGATGACCAAACGTATAACCACGCTTTAGCTTTGATTTATCTATTCGATCGAGATCATAATCTCCCGGTGCGGGAGTTTCAAATATCTTTCGTTCAGGGGGTCGACTTCCCAAAGTCGATTCACGTACCGTTACTTTTCCTGCTATAATATTCCGAAACGAATGTATGCATGGGCAAAAGAGAGAAATCTACCGTAAAAAATGCTTTTCTTTTTGTTTCTCGACGCAAACCGATATTTGTCGTACCTTTAACACTTAAACCGGTTATATCATACGCGCTAGGTCCGGGACCATCTGTATCAAATCGCGAAATGTGTTTATGTTTTTGGCCAAATGAAAACGATGCGGCCGTTGGTTTTGAAGAAACTACAATTTTTTTGTAACCTACAATTAAATCAATTTTATGGACGATTAAAATTGCAGCAATTGTGTGGGACGTTCGATTCATAATTGTCATAAATTATGAATGCAAAACGTTAATCTTTTGTAAAAGCCAAAGTGTATGAATAGCGTGTTTATATGAATCACCATAAATGGCATAGAAAATAAAAATTGAAAACAGCCTACGACCGAATTAACTAACAAAAACTTCCTTACAAATTTGCAAAATACTTTTTTCCGGCGTAAATAAAAACATTCGATATATTTTCCAATTTGAAATTAAAAAGAAAACATACCTAATTGAATCAATGCCGATGAATGTCTTTCGATTAATCAAAGCACTAATAGTAAAATATACGAAACTAAATAATAACAGATTTGATGATGTCGTTTATAAAAATACTCATATTTCTACATGGATTTTGTGTGCACTATAAATCGCCCACTGGATTATAATCGCTGTGAATGCGCTGTCATTCATACAGACGGGTAGACATGATATTGAACTTTGTCAATAGCAAACATATTCAAATCATATTGGTAATCAAATAATGACCGTAAACTTGAAAAAGTTGCAATGCAAAGAATAACAAGTAATAATTGGGAGTGGCAAGCAATGTTTTGTTTAATGTGAAATTTCAATGAAAAACAAACCTAGAAGCGGCGGTAATTCAACGGAATTTGGCGCTGGTGATTTTAGTTCAGCAGCAATGGGTCCACGACGCGTAGTCGGAGTCCACGGTTGTTGTTTGACAGGCATTGTATTTCGATATCAGTATCAAAACGGTTGTTCGATTTATATGCGAATTGTGTCGATATGTTTGTACTCTGAAAAAGAAAAACAATCAAATATTTAAACAAAAGTCCAATTTAAACGAATCGTTTCATTCTATAAATTTGGCCTTGAATTTGGGTTTTCTTTGTTTAACTCATTTAGTCAATGATGCGACTAATTAAGTTTGTAATACGTATTATATATTTGGAATCATTTCATTCGAATCTATTGAATTCATTGCAATTTTGTGCTGTACAATTGGCGTGGGTTGCATCAAATTTTTCATTGTTTTCTTGGGTGTTCCCGAATTAAGACTATCACAACATTCGATCAATTTATAAGTTTTGCTAAATTTATAGTCATTTTTTGTTGTTTTCTTTGAAATTGGCCAAATGCTTTTAATTTATCAAAATAGAACGAAATAAGCATAAATAGCAAATTTTGCCACCATATGTTCCTTTCTGTCCATTTTCATTTTGGGTTTTTGATTTGCACATTTATTGGCGAAACTGAGATGATTTATGCCATGTTTCATTATTTACACGGCTTTTTATTTAATTTTATTGTCGATTGTAACATAAATCTCGTGTGTGCACAAAAAAGAAACGTGTGGCACGCATATTGTTACTGCATGACTTTCACGATTCATGTCCAAACATGGAGTGGTCTCATGAATTTTGACGTGATCGTGGTAACAATGGCTTCGGCTCGTTTTAACTCCATTTTTAAAATGAATTTATATGTTCGTTCGAAAAGTAAAAAGATTTTGAGTTCATACGAATAAAAATGCCAAATGGCCAGCAAAAACATGTGGGTTGATTGTTGTTGTTACAATTCTGTTTTCTTTTTTTCATTTCTTAGACAGGAAAGGATTTAAGTGGCTTTCTAACAATTTTCACTTCTATACGATTGACAGAAATGTTGAATTCACAAAATTGCACGTCTACCACCCTGCATGCATTTATTTTTTTTTTAAATCGAAATACGGCCAATGCCGGATACGTGTAATTTTGGCATTTTCTTTCATTTTCATTTCAAATGCTTTCATTTTGGAATTTCAAGTGTGCCTTCAAAAGTGTCGAAAGGACGAAAATGAATGTAAAAAATACAACCGGAAAAGTTGCAATTTAATGGCTGTTCTTGCTTTTTGCATGTTGAATTTTATTGGGTGATGGCATGAATTTTGGCATGTATTTGAATGCCAAGCTAAAACCTCCCGAAAAAAGTTTCAATTTCAATCATTTTTTTTTTCATCCTTTGACCGATTTTTTTTTGTTTTCATTTCATACAACTCATTTTCTCACATTCATCGGTTTACGTGTATAAAACAAAAGTCGTCAAGGTCTTGCAGTTTACTTTCGGGGAGAAAACAACGTAAAGATTTATAATGTTATGAATCAGTCAGACTGAATAATGCACATCACCATTCATGGCCACCACATCGCTTATATTCAATGTACAGCGCTTATAACGTTGAATCGCTCTATGTTTAGCGCAAGTTGATCACACACACACCATGTAAATATTATTACGTAAATGCGAATTTCCATTTATAGGCAATACAAATCGTTCGAAATGTCGTCGAGTTTGTAATTAACGACTGACTATTGAACCAGGTTTCAAAAGTTATATAGAGAAAAACAACGAACGCGTCTCATCAAACATCTGTTTTCAAAACACTTCAGTACATCAATAGTTTGTTCATGAATTGCGTGGCGATGAATCATGTTCATGTGGTTAAGTAAAAAATACCAAAAAAAAATCATATTCGAACATGGTACGTTTTGAGAAAAATGATTCAAATGCCGGAAATTTGCTTTTGTGGGATGATGTTTTCAAAAAATAAAAACATTTCGATTAACAACACACAATACGAATGAAAAACTGATTATCAGTTTTGGGTCAAGCATATATGCTTCATATTTATATGTATTATATAAAAATTCATTGACTTTTGCATCTCTTGTCACCTTTTTTTTTCCAGTTTCAATGGTCGTGTTTACGCTACCATATATGTAGCACCAGAAAAAAAGCGACCAACGTAAGAAGTACATTTAATTTCGGTGAACTGTATACATTTCTTAAAACGTTGCGACTGACGCCATAAATGGTTAAGTCGTTACTTTCGTGATATATCGTTGATGTTTTTGGCGCAAATATCTTGTGAGAGCATACAACATTCGATTCGATCTCTTTTATGTTGTAGTTTTTTTTGGTTAAAATCGCAGATGGTGTTAAATGATTTGTCTAATATTTTCCATTGGTTGTGGTTTTTATAATTGCATCGATTCGATTCTTTTTTCATCAACTAGTGCGTAGTCAATTCATGTGACTCAATTTGATGTCTAGGTTTGATTTGTGCGCAAATAACATGAAAATGTTTCGAAAACAAAAAACTTTGAAATCAACTTATTTATTCCAGAAGCTACAGTCTCATTTGAATCTAATCTCAATTGTAAATTGAATTGTAAATTGATATCAATGTCTCTTGCCAAACCCACAATAAATTTATAGTAGATCTCATTTCAACAATTGAATCGTTGAGAATGAAAAAAAAGTATGGGAAACAAAAATATAAGAATGAAACTTGGAAAAATGCTTCGATTGAAACGAACCAAAGAAAAAGTTTCGATTAAGAATGAATCATAAATTTTATGTCAAGATTAAAACGAATCAAAGAAAAAATCTAAATAGAAATGAATCCTAAAATATTTTGCAAATTGGACTGAAAAGAGAACCGTAAAAAAAGTTTCAATAAAAATGAGTCCCAAAATAATTTTCATTACACATTGAAATAAAATTCAAGTTCCGTTTTAATTGAAACTTTTTTTTTGGTTCGTTTCAATCGAAGCATTTTTTTAAGTTTCATTTTTATATTTTTGTTTCCCGTACTTTTTTTTCATTCTCAACGATTCAATTGATATGTACGGTGTTCATAAATCGTCTTTGTCATTCATGTGTGTGTTTTCATTTCGAATGTTTGTTTTAATTTAAAATGTGCAAAAAACCATCGACGTGAGCGATGATTGTGCTTCCAAAAAAATATCCATGAATTAAATTTAATTGTGCTAATATACAGGCACCGATTCTGATTTCATCTGCACATGAGAGAATAATTAATGAATCGAATAAACAAAACGAGAGTGTTCCAGTTGAATTATCTGAGAGTCCGTTTAAAACAACGATCGATGACATTGTTTTCAGACTTTGAGGTCAAAAGAATCGCTATATTCAATGAGTACATCAATTCAAAAACGTAATAAAATTGTCCCCTTTTCATGTACGGCCCATGAAATTTCACTTTGCGTTTAAATTTGTTGAGTACGTCTCTGATGAACTATTGATTTGAGTTGTCATTAATAAATCATAAAATCAATGCTGGCATTTGTGAACTTTGACAACAGACAACGTGTATCCAAATTACACATAAGACATTGGGTCGTTAGGTGGTTTGGGGTGGCATTCAGAATAACTCTCTGCACATACGAACAATTTCTTTCAAAGTTTTTTTTGTTGCTTTATTTTGGATTTCTTTAATCCATTTTTTGCTTCGAAAGTAACTGTCACTGCTTGGCACATCAAGCATATGAACGGAAGCACATAACAAGGTATTTTGATTTGGCTTATTGTCGTTGCTTTCGTGCTTTTTTTCGCAGAAAATTCTCGAAGACGCAATTGCTTTTGTTCGATTTCGTTCGAATTGACTGGAATTATATGTTCCCAATTTTATTTATTGCAATCATCATAATAATGAGGTGGGTGCACGGAAAATTTAAACAACGTGAATACATAAAATATAGGTCAACATTGTTGTTGTTACGTTGTTGTAAAAAAGGGAAAAAAGCATTTGAATTCGAGACCGACCTATCGACTATACATTGAACTGCGTTACTACACACACTCTCTGTGCGATTCTTTTCAATTCAATATCAAAATACAATAAATCGATACATAAATTAGAGAGCGCGGCGCTCTAAATTTCATAAAAATAAACAAAATATGATGACATTTATTTTAATTGCGGTCTTACTGTACTAATGCGCTGGGTAAAAAACGAACGAGAATGAGAGAACTGGTTCGTTTCACACGCGTAATTGAATTTATAGCGGCCGAAAGCTAATGGATGACATTGGTCTACATTGAAACGTTCAATGCACGCAATTCAATGAATTTCGACGAAGTAAAAGAAGAAAAAAAAAAACAATAAAAAATGTGCATGCTGCAAAATAAAAGGGGGAACAAATTTTCCATGCGGAATTTGTTAATTATATTTTTCATTCATTTTTATTGAAAGGAACTGCATTGCATGAGCTTGAAGAAAAAGGTTTTAACCTTAGCATAATAATTGTTTGTAAATCAACAAACGGTTTATTTGATGTTTTTAATCCGCATTTTTCTCTGATATTTTTTCTTTTTTCCTCCGATATTTGTCGATTTTTATCGGGTATTGGAGACATGAATTCACGAAGAGAAAAAAAATGAAGGAAATATGGAAAAATCGCCTCTTTGAAAGTTGGCCACATACATAATTTCCTAAAGTGATAACGAAAATGGCTTTATTTACAGATTATGAGTGATATTTAATGATTATTGAGTAATACCAATTATCCACACGTAGTTCCAACCCAAATGAAATCAATACCTTTCATAACTATGAATAAATCAAGCGCGACTGTGATTAAACGTATTTGCAGGCACGGAATTTATCATACCATTATAAATAATATTCGTTCGCAAGTTAACATTGTAATATTTGCGTGCGTGTTGAAAATGAGTTAAATTAGCTTGAGACGCTATACGGACGAATCTGATAAACAAAAATTTGCGTCAAAACAACGGAAACTTCATAAACATATGTGCAAACATTAAAATGTAAAACGGCACCGCAACTACTACATTATCCTTTCTTCAATGCACACAAATACACATTGACTGAAGCGTGTGCAGAATACGGTATATCATGGCATTTATCATAACTTCAAATTACACGATTGAAGAGTACGGAATAATGAAGAAAAATCGGTCTTGCTTTAAAGCAGGCCAAAGAATATTGTGAGTGCCAATAAATTATTTATTTTGAAGCTCTTTATGCTCTCGTTAGAATTGCTTGCATTAAATCATGGTTAAAAACCAATTTAAATTAATAAGCACAGTTTTTTTTTTGGAAAATCGAAAGACAGTCAATTTCAAAGAGTTTTAAAAAGCCGCGTATTCGTTGTTCTCATTGTCTTTCGCACTTATTCATTTTGACTTGACAGTGATCCTGATGACTTGCATATCACATAAATCAAGACAAATCATTTGATTAATATGAAGACGATAATTGTGTTCACAAACAGTTTTTTTTTTTTTGCTTTAAATAAATAAATTTTTAATCATAAAAGATATATCACTGTATCGAAAGTTAAAAGAGAATTTTTTTTTCAACTTTTGTTATTACCTCTTTTTGATGGTTGTATATTCAGTGATTGGATTTCAAAGATGATTATGTTTATTTCACTTTTTGTTTGATTTGTTCTCAGCGATTTTTTTTTGCAGTTGAAATTTAACTATCACAAAACAGTTTGTAATAAAATAGCTTAAAAATGTCGACAATGAATTTCTGATCAAAAAAGAGAACTCTTTTTATGGAACAAATTTTTTAATAAATCCAAGCAATAAAACAAAGTTTTGAAATCCTACACAATCGACAATTTTTTTTATATTGGTAAAGATTGTTTTCTTATTTATGGTTCGACTTGTGAATGTTGAGGAGAGTGAAAAACAGTATACGACTGTTCGCAACAACGGTTCGATACAAAATGAAACTGCTTGGAATAAAGTTAAGTAGTTTTTATACGCGACGCTGTGAATGTGGAGAGAGAGCGAATAAGCCCCATATAACAACAATGTGTGGTTTTGTTTAGCGCTGAACTGTTTTGGTATTCCATGTATTTATAGATAAATATTATGAATTTGATTCAATAGTTTGAATTGTTTGGATTGAACATATGATTTCATGTTGTGAACTCCCGCGTTTGTTTCAACTCATGCACGTTATTGGTTCTCCCCATTTTGTAAATGCAACGAGATAGAAAGTTCAACTCAAAAGTTTCAACTTCTTCGGCATATTTCTAATCGTTTGGATATAATTTGTTATATCTCAACTCCACCTATGCAAGAACTTCATGACGTTATTGATGTTCTTTCGACGGATTCAACCTACTCACGATGAGTCAATTTCAAGAATAAATACATTGACCTACCATATTCAAATGAATGTTAATAACACTTTTTATTCGTGCCTCGTATTTCTGTGACGAGATCGTTGACAATCATTCAACTTGTATTCTATTCCACAGTTCAATTCTAATTAAATTTCTAATATAAATAATATTTTTTTATAAAGAATAATTCTGTACATTTATATCTACCATACATATCTATCTTTAAGATGAATGAAAATGACAAAAAACAAATCAAAACATGAAAATGAAATAACAGATGAATCACACCGAAATAACATTCAATAGCACATACTTTTAATTGACTGCAGACGAATCAGGAATTCTCATTTGATAAGGATGTGCTGGAATACCATAATTCTGAGATTTGCTTATCTATTTAAGATTCAAAATTGATGGGTTGTTGAAAAAAGTACGAAAAATGTTCGAAAATGTGTTTGAGGGTTTATTTGATTTTTCGAAGAAAAAAACTTGTATACCGCCCAACTTGGCTTCTATTCCAAAGTTGACTGGCCGATTTTATTGGGTCAGAAAAGCAAATGCTTATTTGCATATTTTATTACTATTCTCAAAGCAAAATAAGATTTGAATTGAAAATGTTTATTGCGTTAATTTACTATATTACTAAATAATATACTATTCACCAATGCAATACGCTTTTATCACACTTGCACATTTACTTTGTTGTAAGTCATTCAGCATTATAAAAGTTGTTCGAGTTCATTTCACGCGTCAATTTTTTTTAAAGTTGATAGTGAGTTGCTAAATTTAGACTCATCTCTGGGTTTGAGTACATGTTTGATTTTTGGCTCAAAGCGTCAACTTGTATGTAAAATAACCCAGTTGCTTTGATAGATAGACTGCTGAATACACGGATGCCTTAACATTTGTAAAATAAATAGTTTCAATAAACATTTTAAAAGTAACGCATTTTTTGTATAAAATGAAGCCATCAGTTGCTATAACATTCACAATAATATTGGTTCTGGGCTGCCAATTGTTTGGTAAAAATTATTATTTTCATTTTTTTAATTATTATTTAAGAGCCAATGTATTTTGCAGAATGTGTACCTCTAAATAATCGTGGAAATCAGATGCGATCGACCACCAGACTCCCTACTACAACCATAAAACCAACTCCTACACAGTCAAGAGAATCACGTACGAATTGCATTGCGAATGTGGAAAGAGATTCAAGCGATCCACGACAAGCGATTGGAAAGCATCCAGTGTCTCGTTTATTCGAAATTCAGGCAAAAAATCATCAAGTAGCACCAGTATTCAAAGACATAGCTCAAAGAGGTGAACAGAACAAAGTCGAATTTCACATACAAGTGAGTGTGAATAATAAAAGTGCGTCAGCATGGGGCCACACAAAGAAAGATGCAAGACGTCGGGCAGCCATTGAACTATTAACACAAATGGGTCTACAAGTCGAGGCTGATGCCTCAAATACACTTAACAATTGCTAATGGCAAAAATGCTTACTCAAAAAAAGGAGACCCATCGATTAATGAGTTTTCAATCCATTTTTGTATTTATGAAAATCAATTGAATAATAAACAACACTTAAAATAACATATTATTATCGCAAAGATTGCATATTATTCTAAAGTTCACATTTTGGTTATCTCTGTTTGGTTGAAGCAAGTAGTGTGTGTTGAACACAGAAAAGAGAATTATTTATCAACGTAACGTCCGACTACGAACGTCACTTTTTCTCGCTAAAAATACTTCAGTTCGATTTTGACCGCGTAACACTGTAAACGTAGGAATGTTTCAAGCAAAGTTGGTGTGTTTTTTAATTAGTATTGTGGTTGTTGTTAGTGCAACACAAAATAATGTGAATGATGTCGGTGTAAAAAGATCGGCAATTTGTTTAATTCAACGCGTTGCTCAGCATAATCATATTAATATAACTTATACAAAATTGAATTTTGAACAAAGAAATGCTACAACGCATGTGGAGGCAAAATTACAATTGGGCACTGAACAGTACATATCGAATTCAACGTCATTTGTAAAGGCCAAAGAACGAGTTTCACAACAAGCATACGCCAAAACCAAATATACAAAACCCGAGATCGGTAATCGAACATGTTTGATTAATACGCCAACAGCGAAAAGTGATATCAGCCTTTTGGAAGAATATGCAGATGCAATTCACTCTTCAGTCAGCTATGAGGAAAAATCACCAAATAAGACGTGGATGTACGAAATATCGTTGAATGGACAAAGTGCAGCGGCTGCTGATGAAAAGAAAAAAGTAGCGAAGAAATTGGCTGCAACAAACCTAATAGAGAAGATTGGACGATCACAAATTATCGACACATTGACAGCGAAATTTAATAAAACCGAATATCATAACATGGAACCAACTATGCGCCTACGTAAAATTGTTCAAGTCAGTGATCTCACGGGCGATGGTGTTTATACAATATTGAGAGAACTATCTGAACGGAAGGCAGATCAAAATGTCAAAGTGTATATTGTGCAGGTAGAAGCAAAAGGCTTCATGACCACCGGTAAAGGATATACCTTCGAGGAAGCAAGAACAAATGCAGCTGCAGAATTATTGCGATTTTTTAAATTTGTTGTCGATTATCTGCCGAAGACAGGGAATTAAATCGTTTGCTTAATTTCATGTGATTTGATAAGGGATAATGAAAGTCTACTGTTTGTAAGAGAAATAATAAGCAGTTTAAGTGCACGTCATGGAACCATATCGATGTTACTTCATCGGAACGTCTCACTACAATTTCAACATTGAATATGTAATCTCGTTCCAATATTATGTTTCCTACAATTTTCGGTTTCTTAGTTTTAAGCTACAATACGTCAATGTGTAATATTACATTCAATTAATTAAATAAAAACATCAAATATTTTATTCACGTCGTGACTCGAATGTTTTATTTAATTGTGTGTCATGAATTTGATTCATACAATTTATGCGAAACCATTTGAATTCATGAAATGATTTTTCATTGCATCGACTGCTTTAAATCGATGAGAGATGCTATTTTTCGTTTCTTTTGGCAATTCAGCATAAGTCTTCTGGAATCCATTTGGCTGAAAGCACAATGAGAAAAAAACAGATGTGTATTAATCGATCAAGTGACGAACAATAGAATTTTCTCTCTTACCTGGAAACAAGGATCCCAACCAAAATCACGGGGTCCACGTGGGTCAACAATCTGACCCTCAGTCTTTCCTTGAAATAATAAAACTTCATCATTTTCACCGGAACTGTAAGCAAAGGTGCACACAGCCGTAGCGGATTTATCCTCGAAACCGGCCAACATTTTAAAAAGGCCGTCTGGTCCGACCTTTTCCAAAAACCATTTAATATATGGACCTAAACGTGAATGAATTTCGAATTAAATTCTCATCATTTTTCATAGATTTTTCCCATCACCTAACCTAATATCTGATTTATACGCATACTTGATTCATTGTTTCGATAACACTGTTCCATTCGATTTTCAATAAATCAATATTAAAACTAAAGTACATTTGGAATAAATACCTGGCAATCCACCGAGTGCATTGAAGCACAAGCTTGTGTCTTCAACTATAACCGGTCCTTGGACGTGTTTGGCAGCCTCTTGACACTTTTTAATGCTGATTTCATTCATTTCGCCCTGCCATTCCGGCAAATCAATCTTTTTTGACACCAATTCACGGGGAAATTCTTTGCCCAATATCGCAATAACCTCTTCAAGTTTTTTTACATTTCCTGTAATGAATGTGATTGGTTTCGACATGATGCAAGTTTTTTTTTTTTTGGTGATGCACAACTGAGACTTCAATTTAATAGACAAATTATTTGTATTACAAGCACTAATAGAGTGTAGTCACGATTAAATCTAAGTTTATCGGTTTTATAGAGAAATACTTATGTCGAAACCACGATGCGTTTGGTTTTCTTTTTAAGAAAGTTCTGATATAAAAACCACAATAAAATGTTGCGGTGTAAGTAAGTCGTCTGTTGTAGTAAGGTTCGCTTGTCTCAGACAAATGTTGACATTTCAAAGTTTGACAATCAACCGGCTTTTCATACATACAGTGTACCACATACAGTGTAAAACAGCTGCAGAAAAATATGTTTATTCCAAAATTTAACTGTTCAAACAAAATTGGCGTTGGAAAAATTCCACAAATGATGATGATAAAAAAAACATGAAATGTGGACGATTTTACATTTTATTTGGAATTTATTGATTTACAACACGTTCGTACAATTTTCACTTACAACAAAAATGTTAGGTTATATTCATAACCCAACATTGGATGGTTTTTCTTTTCTTTCAACTCTCTCTACTTTACAAAAATACCAAAAAAAGAATCAACTGTGAATGTTTGAATACTACAAAAAAAATGGTTTGTTTCAATTATCTATCCATTTCAACAAATCACTATTAAATACGAAGTTCGTATTACGAACCAAACCAATAGAAATATGAAACCGAACACACATTGGATAGAAGATGTTTTACGATAGTTTGTAGCTCAACAGTCTACATTTCAAAAACAAATGAATTGCTAAGCTAATTTAATGATTTTAGTCAGCTTTCTTTACTTTGGCTTTGGCTTTGGCAGTTTTAGTAGTTGATTTTCCTTTGGATGCAGTCTTTTTACCACCGGCTCCGGCATTCCAATAGTAAAGTAATTGAGCAACAATCACACCATTGCTAAGTGTCGACAATACGTATGTGATGATGATGAGTGTGTCTCCAGTTTCCTAATTGCATTAAATAGAGATAAATATTTGATTAAAACCAGATTTTTTTTTTAATTACATTTGATTGAATGAAACGTTTTAAGAAATTTAATTGTTTTTACAAAACAAAACAAAAACAGAGAATTGTGTCCATAATTTTACCTGAATGCTTGTGAAAACACGGGCTGCGCTGCCAAAGAAGAGCATGAAACAGGTAACAGCTGACAATTGGCCCGTATTTCCATTCGAGTAATTGGTGTAGGCTTGTGACATTTTACCCGTAATCATAATAGGAATGTTTAATACTTGCAACGACCATAGCACATCGATCGGTGTAATTCCGCTCATGAGTGAATACGATGCGGCGACATATCCAAGCAAAAATATAAGAACACCGACCAACGAACCATTGTAATGTAAAACTAATGCGGCAATCACAGCAGTCTGAACAGCCAAAAATGAAACATCACCCCATGAACTGAATGGAAAACCTAAAAGCAAAAATGAATTATTAAATCACAAGCGGAAATGAAAATGGAGCTGATTAAATATTCAAATTTTTAAATATGACAAACCTTTAACAAAATTATACGATAAATTGAGTGTAATTGCGGTCAATTCAAGAAATACAGAGAATATGTTGATGCCAGCGCCGCTTCGATTTGATAAAATCTTCAGGATTTGTGGTACTTTCACAAAAAGACTGCCAGCAACAATTCTATTGTATAACAATAACAATAAATTAGCATTAATTGAAGGTAATTGATTTTGAATAAAATTGTATAAATTACCCGTAGCCAAGCACTTTGCTTAAAAGTCCTTTGAAGCAATCAACTGAAATAAAATTGAAAAAAAGGCGCAATGAAAAATCATGTGATAAGTGAGAATACATATATAATTGATGTCCTCGAATTATCCCAAATTAACTGATAAATGTAAATCGATACAAAAATGGAAACTCACCGTCAAAAAAATTGTTGTCATAAAAGTATGTCTCATAGCATTTTTGCGAGACGAGCTGTAATGCTAACGTTCGAAATAATTCTGCCATTTTTATTCAAATCGGAAAAGTAAAAACGTTTTTTCGCCGTCTCTTACAATTGCAAACAACTATTTATCGCCAAGCGAGATGTTGAAATAAAGCTACTGATTGAACAAAACGGCGGTACTTATGATGTTGGCAAGCAATGTCAGAGAAATGTCAAAACACGTCATTTTTTTCTTTTAAATGTATGTGCTCACAAATGACATTTCGAAAATGAGGTACTAGATCCGATATTCGAATTTTACCATTCTAAGCTGAAAACAGACAAAAAAAGGAAAGAGACAAAAAATCTCCAACAAAAAAAACAATAGAAACGTGATACAAATGAAATTAATTTTTATTGAAATTCTTATTCTATTTTCTTTTTTTTATATGAACTAATCACTGATTGAGAAAAAGATTACAATTCAGTTGCTACCAATGCCCCAATCACTGGCTGCACCAACAGCGGCTGAATATTCACGAACGGCTTTGTCGATGATTTTCTGAATTTCTTTGCATCCATCCATTGCGGTTTTTAGCACTTTTGGCAAATGATCCAAATGAAATCGTTGTGACATCTCGAGTAGTGCCACTTTTTCCGACATTGGCAATGCTGAAATACAAAGTGTTGGTCCGCCGGATACTTCTTCAATATGTGATACATCCAACAATGGAATGTCACCGTTTGCAATCGATGCCGTACATGCACAAACATATTCACGTAAACAAATGCCAGCATCGACCAATGCCAATGTGGCTGCATTTACCGATGCACAATAGGCTCCACCGTCGGCTTCAAGAATTTCAACAAACACATCGATTTGTGAACGTTCATACAATTCAATCATAATGGCAGCTTGCAATGATTGTTTCAAATGAATGGCCATTTCTTCAGATTTTCGATCGCCACGCGGACGATTTTTTCGTTCACTCGTTGAAAATGTGGCCATACTATACTGACAATTCAACACAAATTCATCACTTGATTTCGTTTGTTTGTGCGGACCGTAAACAGCAACCAGCACTTTTGTATTGCCTTGCTCCAAATATGCACTGCCATCGGGTTGTGTGAATACACCTAATTTATATTGAATACGACGTAACTCATTCGCTCGTCGACCATCCAATCGTAATCCTTGATCTGATATCAACTCTTGTTCACCGGACATTTTTTTTTTTTTTTTTCAATATATATTTACTATTTTTTATCGATATTTTTCTTCTTCACAGCAAAAAACACATGCCATCTGACTATAATAATTATCGGAATTTTGACAGTTGTAGTAAACACGCTGTTTCGAAATGAAATGTCTTTTGTGCATGGTTCGTTCACACAGTTTTCGTTCTGACAGATGATTGTGCACGTTCGTCAGTGTGAATACAAAGCGGGCGAGAGAAAGAGACATATCGAACGAAAGAGCACAAAGTATTGTGAGAACGATGCAATTATGATATTGACATTTCATCGAATGTGAAACCATACGCAACTTATTATCATCATCATCCGTGCCAGTATAGCACACACAAAAAAATCAGTGATTGTTATAACAACACATAAGGATGATGTGTCCACGTAAATTTTTCAAATGTGAAAAGTGGACATAAAGGAAAATAAAACAGAAATAGCCAACACCAACCAACCATTACGTGAAAAGTAAAAGTGATTAAGCAGTGAGGTGAAAGGAACAAATACATTTTCAAGTGTGAAAAAATGGTGTCACTCCTGAAAAATCAGCTCCTAAAACACTTATCACGGTAAGTTTTTGTTTGCATTGAGTGCAGGATGAAATTTTTCTTTGTCATTTTAATTGACTTTCAAAAGAATTTTGAACTGTGCCATCGTAATTTAATTAGAATAACCAAAAAGAAGAGTAAATCTCACAACCATATTTTCATATTCTCTTTGTTAAAGAAAATTTTTGCGTCGAATTTCCGTTCGACGGATGTGCAGTCACTGTACACGGAAGCAATTGTAAAATAATATTATTTTGCTTCCACCTTTGTTTGCATTCGCTAATTAATTTTGTTTTTGCCTAAATGGAGGACTTTTCAGCTGCGCGATGTGCAACGTATTGTTGTTAGTGTTATTTCTAAGTCCAGATTACAAATGTAATCAGATGCGAAGCGATGAGAGTGTGTGAATACGTGTACGAACTGAATCCAATTTGTTAGATGATATTGTTGACTACACTTTTAAATGTATATGATGTTTGTTTTTCGACGTCTTAACAAGTTGAGGTGTTTGTTTATTTTTGAATCAAAGCGAAATGAAAATGTGAGAATGAGAGAGAGAGAGAGAGAGAGAGAGAGAATAAATGAGTAAGAAGTGCGTTTTACATGGAAAATCGATTTTTATTTTTATTTTAAATAACATTTGCTTGTCGTGTACACGTTTCAATTTGTCATGTTAAATGGGTTTTTAAAGCATATGAATTGGATTGTGTAACGTTTGCATTTGTTGCGTTGAACATAAAGTTATGAAACAATTTCTTAACAGTGAACAGTATGCAATCCGATACACAACGAATGTGAATGAGAAAGAGAGAGAGAGAGAGAGAGAGAGAGAGAATGAGGGAGAAAGAAGAAGAACGTACTGAGAACTCGAAATTGCTTGCGTTGACATTAATGTAATTAAGTTATGCATGTTCTTTCGATAACCTTTATGACTAATACTAGAACTTTAAACCATTCGAGACATAATATAAACGATTGATGCATAATGAATGAGCAATTCTTCCATGATAAGTTTATTTTTACAAGATAAATATCTACGTAATTTCATATCAAATCTCGTATCCACGCAATTACTCTTATCATATTCCAGACATGATTATCCAATGCCATTTTTTATACATAAAGTCAATCAAAAACGCATTCGCATGAATATTTGAATATTCTGCTGAACCGGATATTTGAAGTGCAAGAAGTGCAAGACCATATGCATAACATCGACGTCAGTTAAATTTGATATGTATATTTTTGTGTACAATTGTTGTTGTATTTTAATCCATTTGGCTAAAACGGAATTTTATATGCCATGAAATAAGCGATTTTCAAATTTATGATGAACATAAACATTTTCCATATCCAAAAAAGTAACTTTTTTATTGTTCTTAAATGAAAACACAATCACTTCAAATGAAGTGATTTGAATTGGAAATTATTGAAATGACTACTACTCAGTATGATTTATCATAGCTTCATGTGGAATAATTTAAATCAATACATTTTTTGTACATTCAACTTTAATCGTTTGAAATACGGTTTTCGAATTTGTCACGATTCTGTGTTCGTGTCATTCATTTATTTTACTGCCGTCGTTTGTTTGCATGTAGTAGAATTCTCACAGCCTTCGGTCGGAAACCGATTCGTGTCACTAGTTGAACATTAAATTGCATTGACTCAATAATTTCATTTGTCTTTCAACCGCATTCAACAGCAAAACTCAATTAATTTTGAATTATGGCCTTTATTGGAAAGTCCCTATATTATTTATTTGTAAAACAACGTTGAAGGCGAATATGATCTGCATCCGAAAGGCTCAAAAGACGAGAAAAATTTTCCTTTGTAAAAAGTTCATTTCATAAATTAAATTGTTGACGTGTTTGTGCTGATGAACAAGAATGTCAATTTATTACATCGCATACTGTATTTTATGTATTTTAATTTATGCTCTATTTTCCGTTAGAAGTAAGTCTTTGTTTCGTACAAATGCTTTGACATAGCAGGCGCACCGACTCTTCAATGGAATCTGTGCAAAAGAATATTTCCAACTGTTTATTTTCTTTATGTTGGCACATTCGGTATATTCGTACATACCGTACGACCAAAATTGAGATTACAACGAAGTCTAAAATTCTGAGAAGAATCTCAATGGTTGTGTCTCACAAAAAATATTTGTTACACAACTGTATGCACACAGTTACAAATACTACTATACTACTGTACAATCGGTTTGTAATATGATTCGAACTATCGTCAGCAGCAGTTCGACCACTGTTCGCATCAAACTATTAACCAGTAAGGCAGTGTTCATTCACAGCTCAAAATGGCGTCGATATAAAAAATTCAATTCAGTGAGACCAATCAAAGCATAAAGTAGTTTCAAAGAAATATTTTCCTTTGGACAATTTATTCACAGAAAATATCAAATGCACTATCATTTAATGTGCGTTGTCTTTTGTGATTTTCTAGTTTTGTAAAGGATTTATCGCCCGACAAAATCAATGTGAGCGCATTCCGTGGTGAAGGTGATCTATCGAATCTACAATTAAACGAAGATGTATTGACGGAATTATTAGAGCTACCGTCATGGATACGATTGACGTCGGCGTGGTGTAATCACGTTTCGTTTCGGATTAGCTGGACCAAATTGAAAAGTGTGCCAATTACTCTGGTAAAATATATTTTCTTATTTTTTTTGAATAAAAAAAATTTATTTTAATTTTAAAACCACATGTTAAAATTTGCAGAGCTTGGACGAAGTGAATATAACGATAGAAACATGTGAATTTGGACGAAATGGAAATAGTAGCGCTGGAGGATGGCAATCGTTAACTGCGCCCAAAGGAAAATACAATTTCATTGACAAGATCATCGATGGAATAACAGTCACGATAAATACGGTTAACATTAATTTTAAGAGTCCAGCATTCGTTGCATCGGTGCAGGTAAGAGCTTGGTTTGACCAATCTATCCGAATTTGATTCATTATCATTATATCAACGGTTTGCCTTTCAGATGTCACGAATACGCGTCGAATCGAAAACACCGAAATGGCTGAATGGAGATCTACGAGTGACTCGACTGAAAGATACTGTGAATGGTCATTTGTTGATATTTAAAGAGCTATCTTGGCAAACAGTTCGAATTGAAGCCAGTTCGACGCAAGACAAATCGCTAACGCCACTTCGATTATTAACGAATGAAGCCAGATGTCGAATAACGATTAAAAAGAAACTTTCCGATTGTACCATATTGGCATCACGTTTAGTTCTAGTCTTAGATGACTTACTGTGGGTACTAACCGATTCACAATTAAATGCTGCCCTTCATTTCGTTGACTCGCTAGCCAGTCTGATCAAAACGTCTACCAATCTCACGCAAAAGACAAAAGCCAAGAAAATTCTCGAACAGTTACCAGAATATCAAGCGCAAATTACGCAGCAATCACGGCAACAACAAAACTCAAGTGATGCCGTTATTTCTGCTGCACAGAGATCGTTTAACATGTTTGATGTAAAGGAAACATCGTATCATTTCTCCAGTCAACGCATTGATTTGCATCTATGCGATGATGCCGGAAGTGAGTTGTAACGCAAGACGAGTGGAAAAGGGGATATTTTTTATTTATTTTTTTTCGTTTTTTTCCAGATGGTAGATCGTGCTATCCAGATCTCAGTGATGGTGGGGCATTACAGATTTCGATTCATGGCTTTCAGGTCGACTATTTTCCATTCCATTTGGCCAAATACAATCGAGCACACTGGCCAAAGTGAGTATATGTTATTTATGTTTTCTTCTCTACAGAGCCATTAAAATAAATCGATTTATAGATACAAAGAAGCCGCAATACCACCAGCGTTATGGCTAGAACAATCATTGAACACATTCCGTGAGTCATTGTTGGATTTATGTCAACCGAACCGAGCGTCAGCTCATCCACCGTTAGAACGATCATCGCCACAACAAACGCCATCCAATGAAAATACATCGAACAAACCAAATGCAGCGCAGGCTGCTTCAACAAAACAAATTTTAGATAATTTTAACAAACTAATGACCGCATGTGTTGTGCTACGTATTGATAATTTTATGCTGTATCGTGTAACCACATCAGGGAAAAAGTCAATGCCAAAGGAATTTATCTCAGGTAAGCATACCAATTCTAGCAACAATTCTCCCTCGAATCGATAACAAAAATTAGAATGTTTTGAACAAAAAAAATCCGTTTTAAACACGACAAATTACACTAAACATACGAATATTTTATTAAAAATCAAAAATACCAAACCAGCACTGCACAAACGGAAAAATAAATCAGGTGAATTTGCCATTTGTAACGAAAATAATCTTCTTTATACCAAATCAATGGAAATTCTGATGCACTCATTCAATCCGAAACACTGATGAAATTTCCATGGCATCAGAAGGGGATTTACGAATTTTGATGACGAATTCGGGGGTTGTGTGACGAAATGTGGATGTGGCTGTTGTTAGATACTCCAGTGCTTAGTCAAGGTTTATTCTCTCAAAAAAGTGGATCTCGTTATGGAGAGAAACGGACTTTCACTAATCGCTAGATTCTTTGCTATAGAGAATGAAATTCCTAGTCGTTTGAAGACCAATAAGATTGAGAGCAAGCTCGTTGAGTGTCTTGAGCCGCTGTGCTAATTAATTAGCAACCACTATTCATCTAAATGTAACCAACCAAACCGAAGTGAATTCGAAAAATTCATTTCTGAAAGCCAACATTTTTCTTAACTATCATTTAGTTTTCCTTTCGCACAATTACGAAATTCAGATCACCTTTTCCTGATTTAATATTTTATGTTTGATAAGAAAAACCAAGTAGAACTTCTGATCACCTCTAAAAATGCATGCTAACTGTAGTCTATGGTTTAAACAAAAACTAGAACCAAAATATCCTTTTATTTTCCACATGTTTTAATCAAAATTGATTTCGTTCATAATTTCAGGTGACAGAGAACGATATTCAATCCCAGACGATCTATCAACCCTGCATGCCGAATTTACCTATTTTTATTTCCCTGGAGATTTTGATTTTCCATGTGAGTTTATCAAGCATTTGCATTTGTGTGTCATACAATGAATGATGGATTGCATTTTTTTCTTTCTCAAATAGTGCCGCCATCAAAAGTGTTCGTTCACGTCAATCCAGTACAGATAAATTTTCATTTAGATAGTATTTTATGGTTGAATTCATTTGCGTTGAATTTGCATGAGAACCTATTGCGAACATCGATGAATGCATCGAATGAGAGTGGAACGAGTCAAAATGAGCCGAGTTTCATGTATATGGATGTTAAAATGGAAGCAATAATGCCACGAGTAATCATAGAATCAACAGTTGATGCACCGAATCAACGAGATCGTCCAAAAACTATGCAAATTCAAATTTCACGTTTTGCTCTCACAAATATACGGGAAACTGGATCATCGCGAGCTGACTTGGCGAATGCATTACACTCACTGCAAGAAGGAAGCCTTGTCTTTGCAGCCGACTTTCCATCAAAAGCAGACGATTTGAGTGTTGTGACAGATAGAATTCTATCGCATATGGCAGGTAAGCAAAACATACAACCTTAAAGAAGTCAAAGTGTATCTATTTGAAAATGAACATTGTTCAATTTCAGCTTCGGATATGATGTCGAACAAATCATCGCCGAATTCATCATCGGCAAATAAAACCATAACGACACCGATGTTAACAAGGTACGCACTATGGATTGAACCACGCGATGTATGGTGTGTAAAGCTTGATCCGATTTGGATCGAATTTCTTGGAGTTCGATCGGTTGGACAGAATAAAGCCGTTCCATTTGTTGATGCCGTGCCGATCACATTCTGGATTCATGGCCGATCATCAGCCAAATTGAATGTAAGTCAAGGTTTTCGAAAACTTTGTTCTTTAACTTGTAAAAAATCAAAAAATTAAATAGTAATTTCTTTTAACAGCCGACGTTCAATACGTTTATCGGCGAGTCGATGTCGTCAATCAATCAAAAATCCCAAGATACTGGCGATGACCGAAACTTAAATACCGAAAACGGTCCATACAATTCAGACTATCTATCACAAATGAATTATGCTCAAACGAATCCATTCTATGCAACTCACAGTGAGGATCATACAAGTGACAGTGATTCGACAACGATACATGCTCGCACCGCCAAAGCATCGATGACATCAACAAACGACGATTCATCGCAAGCTGATTTACACATAATTGCCCATGTTTCAAATTTAGTTAGTATTCAAATTGATCATTATCAATACTTGTTCCTACTGCGTTTGGCAGAAACATTCACTGAACTGTCGACATTTTTAACGATCGATTCAAAACGAATTCTAAAAGAAATTGACGAAAGTAAATCGATTGTAATCGGTTGTGTCATACCTCAAGTAGAAGTTACAATGGTAATGCCCTCTCAAACGCCCGGAAAAGAATCAACTGGCGGCGATGGAGAAAGTGTACTACCAGATTCAGCTAGTCTTGGCGATGATTTACATTTTAATGCACACACAATAAATGCAACAAATTGGCCATTAACGCTTGATCAAATGAAAAATCATCAGAATACAAATACATTTGGTAGCATCGAAACACCATCACCAGTTACAAATGAAGCGCCCGATGCCATTTATCAACAATTCGAACAATCTCAGCAAATTCAGTATACGTCAAGTCCAAACACGCATGGTTTCAATGTTCAAATTGTCAGTACCACATCGTCGAATAATACAACCAGCGTATCGACACCGCAAAGCTCAACACCGGTGTCCCGCGGAAAAAATCGAAACTCAATCACTGATTCCGGTTTGAACATTGGATCCAGTCTGATATCAATGAAAAAAGGATTTTCGAGTTTTATGACATCCATCGATTCGGCGCTTAAAACCAATATGTCAGACGACATGAGTGATACGATTTCGATTCAAAGTGATATTAGTTCGGATTCAGAGAATTATGTTATGGTGCTAGCTGATGATAAGACTGCCGATTGCATGGATGTCATGTTCAAGTAAATATTCATTTAAAATTTAAAAATTCATTCGTTTATTCATTATCGATTCGTTCATTCTCTCAGGTTGAATCCGTTCAATACAGACAACGCAACCACCAAAGCAAATACAGTTGAAGTAGCGAGTGAAGTATGCGAAGAGGTTGATTACAAAACGAATATGTCGTCACCGTCCGAACCGTCTGAAGCAAGTACGTGGCGTAGACGTGATCTAGTTTCAATGGCAACATTTCGTTTAACAACTGTAGAAATAATACGGCAAAATCGTGGACCAGTATCAGCAATACGTGTACAAGTAGCGGCTGTATCCTGTGATGAATGCGGTGCAATACCATGGGATGAATTTCAGGTGAGACATTTCACAATACATTTAAACCATCGCATTTCGATGAGATTTAAATGAAATACCCGGTCACCATTTCCGTGACTCTTCCGAATAAAACATTTCAATCTCATTTAAGTCTTAAGTTTCATTTTCTCGCAATTTTTCTCAATTCAAAACTCGCATTTATCTCAATTCAAATCCATTTTTCAATAAAATTGGAAGTAAAACGTTTATTTTTTTGTTACTTTGTGGCCTTCTTGTCTAAATAATATACATTTTTGTACGTCTATTCCTTGCACATGGAACAAATCTATCTTCATGGAGTGGCCAATGTTTCAGCAAGCTTACATTCCAAAAAGACTGATTTTCTCCTTGATAAAAGATACATGTTGAAAGTCATAATTTTATTCATTAAATACAGTGCAACGAAGGAATAGAGTGCAGTTAAATTTCATTTTGTATGCTTTTATAATGCCACAGCACATCGACTTTTCTGCTTCAGTTTTCACTCATTCAATAAATTCTTGCATCCTGAGTAGAAAGGACGAGCGATTTATCAAAATAAACATCACCGGAAATTTCTACTTGGGATAAAATCAACCGTTCTATCTTTTATGTACTTGTGAATAATATAATAATAATATGGCGTAATTGTTTTGCATTTCACATCAAATTCATTAAAACAATTTCCGTTTGTATCCAACATTTTAACAAAATGACAGAGCCCGGAGCGTAGAACGTGACGGTTGCAAAGAGATTCATTTCTTTGTGCACGTCATATTGGAAGATTGGCATAGGAGTGAGCAAACATGCTCATTTATTTGGTGCAAATGAATTTGCAATGAAATTGAAATATGTGCGACGTGCGTATATACAAGGAAATTGTGATTGAATTAATGAGATGCAAAATCAAAATATACATTATAACCAATTCATATATAATCTCTCTTTTTCTCTTTTTGCATGTTCTTCTCTACCTTACTTCTCTAAAATATCGACGTTATAACAAAAACAATATATATACTATAATCTAAATGTTCAAAACAAAATAATCACCCACCAAAAATTGACTGCGTTAATTATTAAATTTGAAATCGATTACAAAAATTCGAAATGAAAATTAAAAAAATAATATGATTTGAACGTTTTTTGGTCATACGTCAACAAACAACCGGTGTAATATCGTTTCCATACAATTGATGTTTTTCTTTGTTCGTTGATCTGTTTGCGAAAAAAAAAATAATTACTGTTAAAAAAAAATTCGTTGCTCAGTCAACCCATCAAAAGCAAGCCCAGGTATATACCGAATTATTTTAAACACATTTATCAGTTTCTTAGATATTATTAGTATTGAACATTTTAGCAGATGATTTGAGATAATTTTGTTTTTATTTCGATTCGTTTTTGTTTGCAAATATTAGATTCCCCGCGCAAACCCTTCCCGTCCAAGTAGAAATTCATCTTTCCAACATAGATTTTAATCACCATTGACTTATTATTATTACTAAAACCGTTATTATTAACGTCCACAATATTTCTAAATTATATTACAGAATATCTTCTACTTTTTATTCAAAGTTCCGAATGTTTGTGGATTTTTTTTTCCAGAAGAACACTGGACATAATATGATTATTCAGTTTTCATGATTTGTGTTTTTTAACTAATTTTTTCTATTGTTTCGTTATTATTTTAATAATTCCTTCCCAATTTTAAATTAGTACCTAGTAGAATTCCTTTAACCAAATAATAAAGTAGTTGGGCTCGTATATTTAATTTGAATTTCTTGGGAAAATTAGACTAATTTTACAAAAGATTTAATAACGCATTTACTGAAATAGCACTTCTAGCATAATAACTGTCTCTTTTGCACCTCTTTCATTGTGATTATTGTCAAATGCTTGCTATATTTTGTGTATTGCTTGACTGTAAATGTGCATGCGCTGAGATGAATCACAAGGATCGGCTAGTAAAAAAACCCGGCAATTTCATTTGATTTCAATGATTTTCGTTTTCAGACAAAGTTTGGTGCGCGTTGTCGTGCATGGAATATTGCACCGTATAACCAAGAGGCACCGCCATGCATTCGTTTACGCTTGGACGACGAGCTCAATGTACCTGCAACAGTTGCCAAGGATTTCATTGTCAAAGACAAGAAAGAAGTTTTGGGGTGCGTCCATATTCATTTCATTCTTCAAAAAGTACATACTAATCATACTTGTTTTGCTCATTATAGTTGGTTTGACCACAAACTGGAGGTGAGATGTAAAGAGCTATCGATGGCATTATCAATGAGTACAGTGATCGGTTTGAGTGATTTGGCCGAAGATGAAGTTATTGCGAAACCATTGCCAATGGACGTTTTATTGGAAAACTTGAAGCTAACATTAATTGAAGATCGTCCACCTGTGAACATCACGTCGCCAGGTGCAATTCCAATCAATCTACAAATTGGACAAATGCGAATTAAGCGCAATGAAATGGGAATTTTTGAAATTCAACCGAACGATGGCACACAGATCAATTCGAATGCAATTGTTCCGATCGATGGGGAAAAGAATAAGCGCGAAAGAGATCGTGAATTGATTTCATTGCAGCTAGTTATGCAGCAACTCAAAATTGACAACAACAGTCTGAAAAAGCAATTGAACTTACTAGAACAGTCAAGCGAAGCAAATACGTAAGCAATTTATATATGACAGATGAAAATTATCCATTGAAAAATAACGAAACTGTTTTTTTTTAATCTTACAGGAATAGAGCGCGTCAAGAAAGCGATTTGTTGAGAACGTACTTGAAGAAAGCACAAGATGACGCTGCTGCGCTACTTGATGAAAAAAGAAAGCTTCTCGATACCGTTCGCAATCTACAGGTTAGTTTAGATCACTAGTCAACATGAATCTGAATTGTTTGAATGAAGATCCTTCTTTCCGTACTTTTTAAATATTTCTATTTAATATTACCTACCCTTTGCACACCTACTTATTTGATCATTTCATTAGTGAGATTGAATTATCAATTTGCATTTTTAAGAGATTTTCCACAAAAAATCCAATCTCACTATTAAATTTTTCTTAAGCAAAACGAGTTTTGTTCTAGACATCACTCTTAGATAGTCATCCTGTTAATATTCCCATTTGCTAAACTCCTTTGCTATAAAATGTAGTAAAACCCAAATAGCTAATCTGTTGAAATATTTTATTTCTGTAAAATTGCAGCAACAACTCGTATCCAAAGATCGCAACACAAAGAACGACGGTAATAGATAACATCAGTGTATGGATTGTATACAATGTTGCGTAGAGAATAATAATTCTTAATGGTTGTATAATCAGAATACAGTCATTGATACAGTTCTCGTGATATTGACCAAGATTAATGAGTTTTTGCGGGCTTGCCCCCCGAAATTAGAATTTCTATTTAATTAAATAATTGAAATTTATTTGTTAATAACGTGATACATAAATTAATTGTAGCTATGAAGATTTTGAACTATCAACAATATGCCAAGAGAATATTTTTGAATTTTGATATGCATTGAATGCATTCTTCGACCTAATATTTAAATGCAAACTGTACATAATGTTGCGTGGAGAAAAACAACTCCATATGCTAGAGCAATTGCAAAAATCATTTGTACAGTTTGTTATATCGACCAAGATTAAATGAAATTGTTTATTGACCGGACATTTCATTGATTGTTCCAACACACAAAAAAAATAAATAGTAGATTTTTTAGGTTATGTGATAGTCACATAATTTACCACACAACAAGAAAAATCTACCACAAAGTGTCAAATTAAAAGATAAATTTTCTCGTACACAGCTCTTTACAAAATGCTGTGTTGAAGGGTCCAAAAGTGCACTGGCAATTGCTTCGATTGACAACGGCATTCTTGCTAGGGGCTTAATTCAAAATTTTCAACGACTGAATTCTATAATATCCCAATTTAAAAAAAATTGCGTACATAGAAAAAATAAAAAAACTGGGCGTTTGTTGAAGACCAAATATGTGATGATTTGGCGTTTGTGTCATATCTGGGAAAATTCATTTAAAAAAAAAAAAATACCCCGAAGTTGAAATTTTTTTTCGGCAAATTTTCAATTTTTGGACATTTTTGATCACAGGTATACGGGGTGTTTTTTAACAGAATCACGTCATTCTTAGCTTATTGGAAAGTCATTAATTCATCTTGATGAAGCAATAAAGAAATTCTGAAAAAAAAATTCAGCGGAAAAGGTTATATCAGAATGACTAGACCTCAAAAAATTGGGGAAAATCTATGAAAATCGAAGTTAATCGTCATTTATCTTGAAGAAATTTATGTCTTGCTTCGATTTTTTCATCATAAATCAAAAGCGCACTCAATGGACCGACTCTATCCGTTCAAGTTTTTTTTTTCACTCTATACCTAGGAGGGTTAATATCTTAGTAATCAACTGCAATGTACTAGGTTTTTACTTTGATTGTTCACTTTGACAACTGATTTTACATAATTCGGACCCGAGGAATTCAATGGTGGTAACCGTTTTGAGAAATTAGTTCAATTTCTTAAGATTTTTCGGCTTGAAACCATTCTTTTGAAAAATATTTCGAAAAAATGGTTTTTAATCGATTGCTATGAAAATTGGTATTTGGGGGTTTTTTGATAAGAGAAAACCGAATATGTCATTTATTTTGCAGTAGAATTCGTTCATGGCAGAGTTTGAAATAATGATTAGTTTTTTCAATTCATTTATTTGAAAATCAATTACCATTAGTTAATGTAAATTGAAATTTTCAATTTATTTTTTTCAATTCATTAAATTGAATTTTCAATTACCATTTACATTCAAATTGAGAAATGAATTGAAATTCATTTCAATTGCGTGAAGTTGCAGAGATTCTAGTTGGCTCCCATAATACTACTCTCGATTGTTTTCAATTTTTTACCGTCAATTCATTTATAATAACATTTTGAATGCATGGGGCGGAAATGAATGAGACGAAATTTTCTCTCTCATGGG